ATTTTGAAATTAAGCCTTTCTAATATGCAGGATAAAATTGGAAATTAATTTGTAATGCGTCCTAATATAGGAAAGGATGTTTTATCGTGGCTGAAAAAAAGAAAAGTCGAGAATGTGTACGTTAATCACGGAATAAGACGCGGTACTTTACGAAATTTCCTGCAAATTGCTATTGATAACCTACTTGAACGTGAATTTTGAAATTAACCCTTATTGATATCATATCGCGAGGGAATTTAATCCGTGTGGCCTCCAAGTGCCTCGAAGTAATTTCCGGATACCCGGTACAATGGCTGGAGGGGTTTTGATAACGATTTATCACCGAAAGGGCTTACCGCGGAATCGCGCTCGTTTGCGAAACGACAAATGTAAGCTCGGTACTGCGCGCAGATATTGCGACCCATGACGAATAACGCCGAGAGGGGAGGAGGGAAAGAGATGCTTTATTATAGCCTAGGGAGGATCTAGGAAGAGATCGCAAGGGGCTGCATTAATCCTGGGATAGACCGCCTATCGGATCCATAACGTACTTTATGCCGCGGAAATTAATTCCTAAGCCGCGCCCAGAACACGATATCATTTCTGCCCGATAGTCCGAGATAGGGCTATTTCTATAATAATTTACCTTGGACCAACAACGCATAGGAAATTGACAAATGGAAACTTGGTTCCTTGCGAGATTTCCATCCGATGAATAATGCCGGGCACGGGATAATATAAAAAAAAAAGGATAAATAAACAGCGAACTCCTTACGATGCCCCGAGGGAGGTTTGGCGAGTCTCGGGAAGAGGCGCCATTAATCCTGAAGTCAACCGCCTATCACTTCTTCGATACAGTTTATGGATTTAATTTCTAAGCCACGACTGGGAGACCTTCGGGCACCTAGAAGTGTAAACTGAGCTGGGAATTCATGCAGGGAATTTATTTCTGGGGAAACGGCGAGAGCGCAATTCGCTCGGGCAGGAAAGATAGGCTCCTCTCGTGCCGACTCGATCGGGAAAGGGAACAATGAGCAATAAGTCGCGGACGCCTTTGGCAGACAAAGCGACCGGTCGTCGAAGTAGTTCGCGGTCGACATACCCGGAAGCCGAGCAAATGCGGGGTCGAGGGAAACTGCTCTATACACCGAGGACGTCGAGGATCTTTACCTTTGATCCGAGCCCGACATATCCGGAAGCCGGGCAAATGCACAACTCCCCGTACGTCCGTTCCCTATCTCCAGCTCCGACCTCCAACTTCCTCCTTTGCCCGCGGTCCCTGACGAAATTGGTTCCTCGAGCGCGAAGGAGAGGCACCGCGATCCTCGAATTAGGGGAGCAATCATTGTCGGATGTAGAGTCCGATTTTTCAGCGAGAGATCCACGGTGGTCCGTTCAAAGTTATTCCTTTTTCGACCACTATACCGGGTTCTTAAAATCATTTTATCCTCCCCCCGGTGATTTAAAATGACTTTTCCCAGATGAAATCGAGGGTGCGCATAGAGGTCGCGGTCAGCGTATAGGTGCCGCAGGGTGAAATGAAAAACGATAAAAGGTGGAACGAGCCGATATAACGCGAAAGGGCGATGAAACCCCGTAAAGTACCCGCTAGTATTCCCGAATCGCGGCCTGTTCATCGAGTGGAAATCCCGATAGAGCCGATTTTCGCGAGGCGGCTTACACCGTTTCCCTTCTCCCCGTCGATCCGATTCGCCGATAGAGCGCGGTCCCGATTTTCCCGGTCTCGACCCCTTTTTCCGACGTTCTCTTTTTTTTATTCACCCTTTTCCGCCCACTTTTCAACCTTTGTCTCCGCGCGTTCGGGGCGCGAGAATAGGCGCCCCTCCGCGAATAATCGGTGGCCTGGCCCTTTAATTCCTGGCACGCGTTACTCTCGAAATACCTCCTCGTCCCGTTTAGCGTTTATTTCGTTTCCATGCCGCGACTACGTGCCACCTCGCAGTCCCACCCGTTTCCGTCAGACGTGATTTCCATTGGAAATTCTCCCGACGACCGGCGGCGCTTCTCGCCAAATTGGACAGTGCTTTACGCCGACGTTTATTGCCATTTTTTCCTCCCCGTCGATCCCGCCAAAGTGCCGAAATTCCGCCTCAATGGGACTCGAAATCGGGAGTCGAAGACTGGAAACGCTCGTTTACGGGTGTCCATTTGTCCGGCGCCATTTTGAGTCTGGCTCTTATCGGAACCTCGCAAATTGAACCCCTTTGTTCCTCCTATATCTAGGTTCCTCTTTCTATTTTCTCTCTCCCCCATGTCCCATTTATAGCTGAAAATGTTCTCCGTAACCGTTACGGAAACTTGCGGATATTTTCCACATTTTATAGAACGAGGAGGAACACCCATCGATGCACTTTTCCGACGAAAATTCATTTTTCGAGACCGTCTTCTGTTATTTTCCCTCTTTTTCGAGGAAAGTATAGTGTGGTTCTCTTCTTTAAGGGTAGGGTTAATATTTTCTTTCTTTTTTTTTTTCGCCACAACTCTTCATGAGGCACCGCACCCTTCTGGAGCTCTCGACCCTCGCGACGATCTACGAGCGGCGAGGGTGAATCGAAAGTGGAGAGTGCAAACAATCGCGGAAGGGAGAAAAGGGGGCAAAGTTGGAAAGTCGGAATAATTCTCACCAGCCAACCACCGTATCTCGTGGCCTCGGCGTCGATGTGACGACACCGACGACGACGATGACCTGCGCCGCTCAGGTGCACCCCGTGGATGCTTCGCCGAGGCTCCTCAGTTCTCGCCGCCCCTTTACGAAAGGAACAACCTGCGCCGCTCCAGGGTGAAGGGAACGTGAATTTCGGGAAAATTCTTACTTTCAAGATTTCGTAACCTTTTCGACGCGTTTTTCCTCTCAACAGCTGTTTTCGCTGTTGAAAGTGTGGGGTAAAACGTAAAATACAATTCTGTGTTATCAATGCTCACTTACGTAAGGAATAATCTGCGCTGCTCCACGGTGAAGGGAAAGTGCATTTTAGGGAAACATTTGCTTTCAAAATCTGGCAACTTTTTCACTGTATCTTTGTAATACTAATTTCCTCGCAGTAGCTGTTTTCACGGTTGAAAGTGTGGAAGGAAACGTTATACACGATTCTCAGTTCACGTCGTTCTTTTACAAAAGGAACAACCTACCAAGGTGAAGGGAAAGTAAATTTCGGGAAAATTCTTACTTTCGAGATCTGACAATTTTTCCATCGCGTTTTCCCTCTCAACAGCTGTTTTCGCTGTTGAAAGTGTGGGGTAAAACGTAAAATACAATTCTGTGTTATCACTGCTCATTTACGCAAGCAATAATCTGCGCTGGTCCACGGTGAAGGGAAAGTGCATTTTAGGGAAACATTTGCTTTCAAAATCTGGCAACTTTTTCACTGTATCTTTGTAATACAAATTTCCTCGGAGTAGCTGTTTTCACTGTTGATAGTGTGGGATGAAACGTTATACACGATTCTCAGTTCTCGTCGTTCCTTTACAAAAGGAACAACCTACCAACGTGAAGAGAAAGTGAATTTCGGAAAAATCCTTACTTTCAAGATCTGACAACTTTTCCATCGCGTTTTCCCTCTCAACAGCTGTTATTTGCTGTTAATGTGTGGGGTGAAACGAAAAATAGCATCCTCACCTGTAATGGGAATTTTGCAGTCGGAGTTCTCTGAACAGTAGAATTGCACTTATTTGAGATTTATCGATTTGTGATATCCCAGTCAGCGGAGATATTAATTTAATAAATTTATGTTGGATGTGGTGATTATTTCGAGGGATATGGGGAATGTCGTGAGGGTGTACTAGGAGTGGTCAGGTACTTTTTATTTTTGACTTGACCCCATAGGGAACTCTCTTTAATTCTGGTATAAACCGGGTAACCAGGTTTTTGAAAGTTGGTTAACTCTGATAGGCAATATTTCTTGCGGATAAAGAGCGCGGGCTGTTCGAGTAGATTCAGGAAAAGCCTCGCAAAGTGCAGTCCTGAAAGTTTTCGGGGAAACCCCCGCAAAAACCTATTACCAAGAAATCCGTGAGTTTTACATCCGAGGCGTTAAAGTTCCTTTTTTATTTCCCTGCGCTCTGATCTGTTCGCTGAAAGGAAAAAAGAATCAGAAATTGCCACGAGAAGTATGAATCTTGAATTATCGACGAGGAACGACCTTCGCTGAAAATCAAATATCCTGTGCCCTCTTAAGGCAACTGGGTCGGTTGTGTGATAGCAATCTGATTAAGTAGTTCGTCGAAGTTGCACCCTAGAGTTGCTCCGATCACCAAACATGATCAGTATTTGCAAACGTTTTCCAGTCACGCCGATGATTCAGCCAAGCCAAATAATCTGAGAAATAGCATCCATGCTCTTCAGTTTCACAACAACCAAAAGTCAAATCAATTCCATTATCCTCCGTGAGAGAATTGGACAAGTGCAGCGGGACTTTTAGTGCAAAATCCATTACTCTAATCTGTTTTCCAACAACATGCTGAAATTTTGCTCGCCAAGTGGACGCAGGCGATGCACCACGGTGAGAATCAGACTAGATTAGACTTTTGACATTAGACAATAATCTGCGAACGAGTCTGCTAGAGTTTTATTTAAAAAATCATAAATTATATAATACCGTCTTCAGCGTAGATTTAGAATCAGATACTGGGAATATAAAAGCACCCAAATGCCTTTTTTTAATATTCGCGTACAGTGCTTAAAATAATCCGGATATTTATTAATTTATTCCTACATCCGTGTAAGTTTTAGAATCTGAATTCAGCACGGTATTAAGAACAATTGCATTTTTAAGCAGAGAAGCGTACCGTCTGCCCCTTGAATGAATTCACGGCATACTCGCGCGTAGAGCGGGTTGCCTTTCAGTAGGCGCAGTCGATTCATGCCTCTTAAAAACGTCTCACGCATTACCTACAATTTATTCATTTTGTACATCACGTACTACATAATCGCACAATGTAAATTCATAATAATTCCGTCGCAAAACAAAGATATTAACGACACATCTCTTCCTTCGTTCCAGGTAAACCCCGGCAGTAAGGCAGCGCAGCAAGGGGTGCGAGAAGGCGATCTGATCAGCAGTATAAACGGGAAAAGTACGCGCAATTTGACCAACAGCGAGGCTCACGGATTGCTGCGCAATGCAGGAGAACGTCTGAGGCTCGGTTTAAATCAGTAAGTGTCTAATTATATATATTTTTTCCAAATTTACGTATAAAGAAGTTGGCCAGATGTCGAAAGGGGATCTAGATCAAGTTGTCCAAGGAAGTCCAAAGGGAAGATACGAAACAAGGGGTGTTAGGAACAGGAGGGAGGGAGGGTCGTGGATATAAAATGGTGTACAATGAGCTCGTACTGATTGGAACAGGAAGTACGGAAACGCCGGTTGGTCAGCGGGGTCAGTCGACGTCAATCAGAAGGGGCGCGCCTACGAACTCTTGTTCGCGCCTCGTTTTCCAGGCCCCGGGAGCCTCGATTGTGTTCGACAAATTCCGAACAAACTGGCGAAGGTTCAACGAACCTATCCCGAGGTATCCGCCTCTCTTGGCCGAGCTTATTTCCGGTAAAGTAGGAAATATAAGGGCCGGAAGAAGGGACGACCCTCGAGGGAGGCGAGGGTGGTCGATGGCTCGACAGAAACTCCGGATCGCCTCAAATCGGATCAGAAATGTCGGAAACTTCCTCTGTATAGGTCCCGTTTCGTTTATAACGAACTAAAAATAGTGATATGGTAGAATTAAGGAGGGAATTCTTCCTTTTCAGGGAAAACGTCGGGTCGCCCAAGAGGAGGATCTATAAGAGCAGCCTGCAGGAGAGCACCTCCACCGAGACTCTGAAGAGTGAGTATATTCCTGATAAGGGGTTCGATAAGAATTATTTATTTGAGTAAAATCGTAATTACCTCATTTTTGGCGGAAACTCTCATCAGGCTCAGGGAAAGGAAACGTTAAGTAAACGTTCGAATTATTGGGGAAGGTGCAAGTCGGGCTTGAATTGCAAATGGATGAGGTTCGATCGGTTCTTGATGAGATTACTTATTATTTACCTTATCTCTCGAGGCAAACCACTTCCTGGGTTTAATAAAACGAAAGTCTCTCTCTCTCTCCCCCTCTTTCCAGGAACGACGACAAAGTCAACGACATCGAGCCTGAGAATAATTTCCACGGAAGCCAAGAGCAACGGAACTGGTAAGCGAATCATTTCTCTCTCTCTCTCTCCCCGACGTTTCTCTCCTATTCCTCCTCGTAATTCGACAGCCGACTGTCTCTCGACACCATTATTATTTCAACACTCTCGAGACTTCCCGACCTTTTGCTTCTCTCTCTCGATCTCGAGCGTTCGCTTTTACATTCCTTCGGCTCTCCCAGCCTCTTCTCTTTCCTCCACTTCGTCGGACCACTTTATCTCGCCACCACTATTTTCTTCTTCTTTCAAATTATTTGTCATTAACAATGTCAAGCTACGTCGAACCATTGGATCATGCAAGTACCTATAATAACAAATATCAAATATATCCAGGATAATATTAAAATTATGAAGAATAATATTTTCTGGAAAAATACGTAAACTGAATTTCACCCGGAAATAGAGCCGAGGTATAATTCTTTCCCCTCTATTAAAGTGACGTAATGCATGCAGGGAATTAATCTTCCACGGTTGGTGATGGTTAAGGAGATCTAAGTGGCCACTTAACTCGATGAAATTTCGTGATCGTTCATTCGGTCACACCCAAAAGCGACACGACTCGCTTCACAGGAATTACGAGTACGCGCCATTTCAATCCGGACGAAAAGAGATAAATTTATCTCTCTTTAATAGTCTTCTTTCCCTTTTAATGACGTATCATTAACCTGGGAAGTGCAAGTTGTGCACCGCAGACGTCCTTTTCGGGTCTATCGCATTAGTTGCATCTTGATAATATAATAGCTATTCACGTGTACAACACGGTACGCATCGGTTACTCAGACTGACCCACGGTTGGAATGATCAAAATTGCATGGTAAGGTAACCACCCACCCTGTGTTGACTATTGCTCCGATAACCTTGTTTATAGACACAACCGATGTCCGGTTTGAATTTCCGGTTTAAATCAATCCAGGAATTGGAATATCGATTCATAACTGCAATTCCGTAAATGGAAACGAAAATCACGTGCCGTCATTCGTGCTATATCAAAAATGATAAAATACGTCCGTTAGCTCTTTGAGAGATTTCCATAAATGTAATGGCTGGATTCTTTGGGGAAATGTTATGTGTGCAGCACTTTTGTTTAATTAATTCCAGGGAAATTGATTATTTCGTGCCAGGGCTTAAGGTGAAGTGAAACACGTCGAGGAACTTGATCGACGTCGATAAAGAAGATTATTCTAAATGCCCACGTTGCCGACGTTGGTTTTTATATTGACAGTTGTGTCGAATTATATTGGGTATTGTATTAAGTGGCATACTCCACCTGTCGCTTTCGTACAATAATTATAAAGAAATCGAAGTAAAACTCCAGAAATTCTCTGGATTCGTGCTTTCTGGGGCCCTAATTGGCTGCAGGAGGACACGTTGCGCCATCTGTGATTTCCAGGTCAATTAAATTTTCACTCCGAGACCTCATATTTCCATCGTTTTGATATAAAAGCGCATAAAACACTTTTTTTTGCCTTTATCCCGTTCAAGTGCGAGTTTATCGATTACTAGAGTGTTCTAAATTGTCGAAAAATTGTCCTAACCCTTTCGTTTCTCATATCGGAGTCTTCGATAATTGTATATTGTTCGAAATATGAGAGCTCGACGCATATTTTGGTTCTGGTCTGGGCTAAGTGAAACAAATTTTTCCAAAAATCCAAATTTTGAACGTGTCAGGACAATTCTTAGATGATCACGAGTCACGTGTCAAAGTTTCGGACAGTTTGGTCCAATACCCTTAAAAAAAAATGTTGTATTCGAATCGACTGATTTGAAGGGGGTTTCACTTCACCTTAAACGAACTGTTTTAGCTTCATTTAGCTGTCGATGTGCGATTTTGTAGTGCTCTTCATGGTCGACCATTGACCTCGGTGAATTGTTTAGCCCGTAGTAATCCGTCTGCAAGGCGGTGCATATTCAGATTCGCATGGTGCGCAGTCGAGTGGTTCGCCCTTACAATTTGCTCTTAAACATGCGTAGACATAGCCGTGCACTGTCATCACGGCGGTGCACGTGTGCCGGCAGAATTTATGCACGTACAAGAACACCATTAAACCCTGAAGACGGGGCCACGTGACCGAGGGGCGCGCCTTCTCTTCTTCCGGCAAGAACGGCCGAGCCCCTCTTCGGTTTTCGAAGACGAGGCGATACTCTTTTTCCCAGTCAGTGCTTTCGAGGGTTCTGTCGAAGAGACGAGCGCATCCTGAAGGATTCCCCCAGAAATTACCTTCTCTGGCGCCAGAAGTAACCTCGAGGTCTGCGTCCAAAGTCAAAATAGGCGCCGAAGAGAATTGTCCGGTGCCGAGGGTGGTAAAAATGGAGGACTGTTGATGGCACTTTTGGATCCTTTGAAGTGCAACGAACGATGGATAGTGCTGGAAACTCAGGAAATTGGCGGTAATGTAGTCCTGCGCTGTTAGAAGTTCCCGAGACTCTGAAGAAGAACTTTCGTCCTGGGGCACTGGCTACGGCATGGAACGAAGTCGATCAAATTGGGGTAAATGAGGGAAAGATGAAAAAGTTGCGGATGGAGTAGGGCTGAAATGGTGTCGTCGAGTTTTCAAAAAGTCCCATGCTCGGAAATTAATGCCGAAGAGCAAGAGATGTGACCGCGCTGATAAGTGGGAGATGCAGCAGTGATGGAAAGTCGTGAAGTGGAGATGGAATTTAAAACGGTTTATGAAAGAAAAATTCACTAAAAAGAAGAAAAAAATGGGAAGGAGAAGAGGAATAAAAAGTTCGGCCTGAATAGCTGCTTAAATAATGGAAGATAAATTTTATATAAATTGTTTCATACCTGTGAAATGTGAAAATTAATTCAATGCGGAACTAAAAGGTATCGTGAAATTATGCGATGACCCTGAAGGCAGAATAATTTACAGGATCATACAAAGTGTCTTTGGTAAATGTACATGATCATAGGAAATAGAACCTTGGATCTACGCTGTTCATGCCACCGTTAAAACTGCAGTCGTAATTTTATTTAATGGTCCTCGAATGATGCATGAGACCAATATCTACCTGATGCATCCTTATTCAACTCGTACGCACTATTGGCTCCGCATTTTAATGAAAATACAGAAAGTGACATAACGTAAAGTGCAATTTGGTCCACCGCCCTTTATTAATGGTCTCTTCGCTCCCAAATTATCGGGTAAATAATCGTCTTGGTTTTGCGCACGGTAATTAATAACCGCGGTATCGCATAACGAGGTGGTAAAATAGATAAGAGGATTAATTGGATATTTTGGCGGGATGTAATTCGCGAAATCCCGAACAGAAATCGTAATCCACCCCAAAAATCAGAATAATTATGGACTGTTCTGCATAACGATAGAGCGGAAATATCGGCCAGGCGGTATCATCCATAAAGTCGGATTCGATCAGGAATTGATCACAAAACGATCTTGAAGAAAATAATATAAAATAAAAAATGAAGTTATTGGCGTGCTCGGAATGTCTCTCCGCAATGGAGGAGTCAGGGCCTTCAAAAAAACCGAACATTTCCGAAATCTCTGATCCTCTGTTAATAACAAAACGCCCTGTTACCACGAGTATCGGACATGAAGAAACACCCCGAAGAACGAGTTTCGCCCCAGAAAAGAGATTTCAAAGCGTCCTGCGAGCTCTGAGCACTCCATGGAGACGAGCCTCTACGAAGCCGAAAATTAAATTAGAAACGCGACACAGACCGAAGAAACGAGACTTGATAAAGGATAGAAAATCAAAAAACGCAGTGAAAAGCGATTTCCAAAAATCCATCGAGAGCGTGAGAAGACTCAGCGACGGGTCTAGCAAATTTTACTTGGAGCCATTGTCCCCGGAAAAAATCCAAGAAATACGAGACCTAAATATGAGGTCAACCAGGATCGACTTCGAGAGGGAGTATCGAGAGCACTTGGAGGCTCTGAAATTTTTCATCGACCCCCCAGCCCCGTTCAGAAACGATATCGACAATACCTGGAATATCGATAATCGACTGAACACCCTGGACCGCAAGAAAATTAACACCGTGGCCATCCCCGAGGCTCCCATCGACGAAGACCACGGCTCGTCGAACTATTGGATGAACGTCGACTCGGAGAGGTCGAAAGTCATTAAGCCTTATCACAAATGGAAGGACCCGGTCGGAGGAGAAAATATCGAGGATTATTGCGCGTTATCGATAGACCCGATACTCTTCGAAACAGCGAAATACGCCGAGGCCATGATAGGGCTGCTGACGTCAGGACCGATTTTGAAAAAGGACAGACATTTTAATGGCTCCCCTGGGAGCAGAAAAGAGACGAAGACCGTTCGTTTTCTGGTCGATGAGGAACCAGAGAACGAGAACGAAGACGAGAATGAAATAATTACTACGGATCGTGGGGAAAAATCAGACCTCGAGGCGGACGAGATCACGAGGACCCTGAAGATCGTTAACTGGGAAGCCGAAGAGCTGAACGGAAGCCTCGTTATCAGGAAAGCCGAAAACGAAATGGGGCTCGACTTGCTGAGCGGAATTTCTGATTGGTCACCCGATGTCGAGACTCGGAACGGTAAATGATGAAAACGGCTCTTTTATCCCGAAATGAGGATTAATTAGGTCTCTAATAATTTACTACTCGCGGAGCCCGACTCTCGGGCGACATTGTCCACGTCGGACAGTTGCATGATTCAAGTAACCGACTGAATTACGCTCAAATATTGATACTGACGTACCCACGCACAGATGCGGTAAGTGGATTTCAGTAATCCTGTGGGGATAATAACCCGACCGAGGACTGGATATGTGCCATGTACCTCGCGGTATGCACTAGATATCCCGTAAAGCCGCGATGAAGTACAGGGGCCGCTTTGTAAATATCATTTCCGGGTGCGAGGCATGGAGAAATTCGGAAAATACTAACCCTTCGCCTGTTGATGGAATCCAATATCCGGGGTTTACTTTTCGATTTTTCAGAGAATTTCCATGCTAATCTCGCCGTCCCGTAGGGAGACTCGCAACTCGCGCGAAGATAGGGACGTCGGAATCAGGGGAAACCCGGTTAATGATTTAATTTTACGCGTCGGCTGAATTTTCATTTGGAAATCGATCTGCACGTCGGACGGCACTTTGGGGTCCCAGATATCGAGCCACGTCGACTCGACGTCGCATTAAAGCTCGCCATGCTGCCATGAGTGCGGAGACTCGGCGCGTTATGTCGCATCCTCTCCATGACAATGCCATCCCGGAAATAACGATCACCGCCGGTCCGAGTCGGCCGATTTCTGCCGGAAATTGCGCCTTCGCCGGGGACGGCACCAATGCGGAAAGTTATTGTCCCCGAAGACTCTCGTCGTCCATCCTGGGCTGATCCTTTGTGGGGTTCCCTTTTCGAGGATCTCCGAAATGGTACCAACCTAGAATCCCACCGACGAACGAGGGAACTTTCCACCTCGTCACAAAAACTCCACCTTCGATGTGCCTTCACCTACCTGGTCCTCTAAAACCCAAATCTTTGCTTTCCTGAGTTTTATTTTAATATTAAGAACACGCGAAAGTAACATCCGCGGGGTCAGCCGTTCATGAAACTTTCTCCGCATTGGGTGTACCGAATCGTTTCAAACTTGACTAATGTAAATTTTCAAAATGTATATCAAGAAATGGGTGTCAGGACCTTCCTTACAGCCTCCATATTCACGTTGTAAAGATCGAAACGATTCGGTACACCCGTTTGGAAAAAACTTTCACGAACGAGACCTCTTCGACGCCACTTTCGCATCACCTTAAGCCCTAGAATTCGCGCTCCAAGTGCCTGTCGCTCCTAGAAGTTGTAATGAATTTAGTTATCCAATGTTTCATTTCCATGGTCTACTTTTTCATCGGTAGTTTGATATCATAAGTGTCTTTTAATATTGCCTCCCTTCGACGCCACTTTCGCATCACCTTAAGCCCTAGAATTCGCGCTCCAAGTGCCTGTCGTCCCTAAAAGTGGTAATGAATTTAGTTATCCAATGTTTCATTTCCATGGTCTACTTTTTCATCGGTAGTTTGGCATCGTAAGTGTCTTTTAATATTGCATAGAGTCTCCTCCTCCCTTCGACGCAACTTTCGCATCACCTTAAGCCCTAGAATTCGCGCTCCAAGTGCCTGTCGCCCCTAGAACTTGTCATGAATTTAATTACCCAATGTTTCATTTCCATGGTCTAATTTTTCATCGGTAGTTTGGTATCGTAAGTGTCTTTCAATATTGCATAGAGTCTCCTTGGCATGATTAATCGCCACTTTCAGCCCGGTCGCAGATCGAAAATCGTCGGTTAAGCCTTACCTACTCTGCGGCCCGAGCCCGGCATCGCAAGGTTAATGGGCCGCATCGGAAGATAGCGATCGATTAGGCGATCGGTTAGAGGCACCCGCGAAATAGAGGAGGCGAACACGGGACGGGACACGGACATAAACATGGACGTGACGTGTTAATGCCTGGCATGGGTGCGGTTGTCACGGGCCAAAGGGGCCGAGCCCTCGTTTCCGCAGCTCCCATCTTCCAGCCTTCGCCTCCTGCGACCTCGAGCCATCGATCGGACCATCGATCCATCGATCGGTCCGACCATCCATCCGTTCGATCTCCTGCGACTCGATCGATCGGTCTCGAGTCGAACGGCAACTTTCAAAGGAGGTATCTCTCGGTTACCGATCATCGGCTCCGTCTTCGGGGTCCTAAAAATGACAAATTTATCGGAAATTACTGGGACGACGTGGGGGTGGCTCGGTGTCCAATTTCACGCTCAACTGGCCGAATAGGGAAGGGCATAATCGACGGGATGAAAAACCTCGAGACCGGGAAAGCCGGCAGAAGGCAAGGGTTAAATCGAGCACGCGAGGGACGTAAAGACACGTAGTAATTGCGAGTCCCGCAAGCCGGCATCACATTTCGCGGTCGGTTCCCACTCGGGAGAAGAAACTGCTGGAGCACACTTCTGGGTCTCTTCTGAAGTCTCAAGAGGTGGAACCTAATTAGGGAGTCCCTCACCCTGGATTAGAGGCGAGCTCGCGATGCTGTTAAGATTTGCCCGATGAACGCCGAACCTCACGTACTTGCCCTCTTACCGTCATTTATTGAGACGGGACCTCGAAGGACACCCTGAAGAATACCCCGAAGAACCTCCACTTCCTGGTCCCCGATCGACTCGACCAAACCAGAGAATACGTCAAATATATGAGTAATGCCACGGAAGTGAAACTTCTAAATTAAAGTTATTAGATGTCATTAATTATTCTTAGACATGAATAATTGTCGGGAAATGCTCTCATTCGTTCTTTTTGGCGTAATTGTTCTCACTTCTTATTCCTATTATCTTTATTACGTATTATTTTAAGACGTAAATAGTAATTAACTTTAAAAAGAGTTTCACTTTCCGAACGTGCTCTTGCCATGACGTGGGAACTTCCATATACACCCTTCCCTCAATTTGCGCGGAGAATCCGTTCCACGTGGATTCGCTTTACGCGAATGAAAGTCGCGTCGCGTAAAGTCTGCCGGTACAGAGGAAAAAATATTGAAAATAAAACCCCCGTAAATTGTGTTACAATTTACCGCGTAAAAAAGAGTGCCGCGTAAATTGCGGAGTGTACTGCCATATGAAGTTTCACTTAAAATCATCCATTTTCATCGGGGGGAAACGATCGATTCGTGAAGTTCGGAAAGTACCGAGCCGAGCTGGTCGCGCTACGCGTTACGTAGGACATGTCCATTGTGACATAATAAAGGCACAAAAGATGTGGGATGGACGGGATAGTTCGACTGGTGGGGTGACACACATGAGCACACAAACCCCGTCGGGCTCGTCGTGCGTCGACACACTCGGAAGGAAGTGCCCCTCGGAAGTGGCACCGCGCGTGTGCATACGCCAAAGGGGGAGCACTTTTTGTACCCACCACGTGTAGGTGCGCGTACATGGGACGGGGGATCCGACCTATCACGGATGACAAGGGACAGTGCACGTCCAGTGTGTAATCGCGATCCCAGCGTCCCACGAGCTGCCGCGACCGATCGAACGAACGATCGACCTATCGATCCCGCGACCAGTGATAGCCGATCGCTCGGCTAATCCCGTTCAGTGATTTTGGATTCCCAAATCCTCGATAAAAGGTTGCCGTCTCATTCTCATATGTGCAGGTGCTTCCAATCCTTTAATCCTGTCGTTACCTTGGACGAGATATCTCGCGACCCGATACTGGCCGATCAACGCTTTTGACGAGATATCTCGCGACCCGATACTGGCCGATCAACGCTTTTGACGAGATATCTCGCGACCCGATACTGGCCAATCAACGCTTTTGACGATAATCTAGCTTCCTAGCACTAATATTTTCCAACCATGTTTTCAATTATACCACGTAGAAAGTAAATAATAATAATTTCATTAAATTAATAAAAACTGTATTTATTTCTTCCTTTTAGCTATACGAATAGAATTAGTTATAAAATATATTCATCTAGAATGTCAAAATATTGGTGCTAGAAAGCTAGATTATCGTCAAAGGCGTTAATCCGCTACTACCGGATCGCGAGATATCTCGTCAAAAGCGTTAATCGGCCAGTATTGGGTCGCGAGATATCTCGTCCAAGGTAACGAAAGCGTTAAAAAGTCCGATTATAAAGTTCCTAAATTGATGGAAAATCGAAGATATTTCTAACAATAGTTCGTGGGAGTGATTTCGAAAAGTGTAACTAGGAGCTGACCAGCTGACTCGTTTATATATTTACTTATTTGTTTGTTTATGACTTTTTCGGGGGGGTCTCGGAAGGAAGTTGTAGGGGATCACTGGATTTTCTACGTGTAATTGAATTTTTTTTTTTTTTTCTGAAAAATGGCCGGGAAATAATTGCTTAGGTTGATTGGTCGTTTATTAGAGGCATATTCAATTTTCGGCTAAGTCGAGATTCATCCGGATTTTTATTTGAAGTTACGGCCACGGTGGTGCGGAAAGTTTGGTCATTAGGTTATCGCGGGACGAATGTTCGCCGAGCCCGATTAAAATCAATGGCTAAGACCGGGCGCGGAGTTGCGGAAACCGGAAGTCCAGCCCCGGCGCTTCCTTCGGTCCTCTTCTCTATTAATCATCTATGCCCGAGGAAACTTTCAAAGGAAACGGAACAGAGGGCCGAAGAAGTTTCTCCGGCTGCGGAAGCTCACGGGCCATTAAACCTGTCGATTTTCCTAAATTCATGATTTTATTTCCGACCCCACAGTTGAACACCCATGAATTTCTCCTCGACGTTATTCCGCGTATTCTGATATAATATTAAAATGTTAAGAATATGTGTGAACAAAAAAATTAATCCTCTTGTTTTTCCCTACTCAATTTTTTTTTTTTATCAAATGTTTCGTTACGCGATTATTATAACGACTATCGGTTGTTGCAGATGACACGACAAACGGAGGAAACAATTACGCCAGTCAGAACGGTGGTCTGAAGAACTCGGAACAACGAACAGACACCTCTGCCAAAGGTGAGTCCATCCATTGGCCCATTTCAGCCAAAAAATGATTTTTGGAATGTTGGGTTGGGGCACGCTTACTGCATGGGTATTAAATAGTTATGCGAAAGGAAACATTCTCACTGCATACAAACCGATGATCGTCCCGCCAAAATTGGCATCACGACAGCGGGGAAATGAGTTTCATCTGGTCGCCATTTCCTGCCCAGGCCATTAGATGACTATTTCGTGACTCTGATTTTCTGAAAAAGTGCAGAAATGCGCTCTCGTCCCCCCACAGACTTCAATTAAAAAGAATGACTTCCCCGAAAATGAATGGAACTTTCGCGTGAATTTTTGATATTTCAGAATGACAGCCATGACTTATCGAAGTCTCGTGATGGCCCGCGATATCGCAGCAAAAATCATTGCAGGACTATCGGAGTAACGTCAGAGGTGCATGGTGTTCGATCCTCGATAGTTGCTCGTTTCCGGAAAAATTCATTAGGAGCTGATTTAATCCGTGGGAAGTAAAATTCGCGTGGGAAGAAATGTTCGATAGTCCTATCTCCTTCTCCTTCGCAACGGGGTCACGAAGTATTAAAGAACAGATCCAGCAGTCTGTTTCGACTCTTCCGGGTTTTTGTTTTTGACCGTTCCACCCCTCGTGTGAAGATTTGCGAGAAGCCGGAGCTTTTAACACGTAGAATCCAAAAATCCTACGAAATTTCAACGCCCTAGGCTACGAGTACTCGGACTATCTCACCGACGCTGAAGAGGACCGCAACAACATGCCCCACGCTTCTCGTAGTCGCAAAAATCGACGGGCAAAAAATCGCAAACGGCCCCAAACCTCTGTTTTGGAGAAGCCGTCTAACGAGGCTTCCAAGCTGATCACCCCGACGCCTGATTTGTCAAAAGTAAAGGACACACCGACGCCTGATTTATCAAAAGTAAACGACACACCGACGCCTGATTTGTCAAAAGTAAACGACACACCGACGCCTGATTTGTCAAAAGTAAACGACACACCGACGCCTGATTTGTCAAAAGTAAACGACACACCGACGCCCGATTTGTCAAAAGTAAACAACACACCGACACCAGTCATCCTGAAGAATGGTCATCAAGAAGACTCTATCAGTGAACCTGATAAAACCGAGGAGAATTTGAAATCCAGAGATCTCGACGAAAGGTCCGAAGGAAAAATCGGAGCAACTAAAGTTGATGAAGAGGTAGAGAATGTCAATGGAGATGAAAGTTCAGAAGTTAGTAAATGTGGAAATGGAGACGAAGCAGGGAGAGAAGCTAGCAAGAATGAAATCGATTCCAAGATAAGAACGAATAAGAAAGAAGACTTTACGAGGGGAGGCAGGAACAAGAACGTGGAAACATGCACGGAAAGTGAAACGCAAGTGATAAAAGAGGTTAACAACAACGAGGAGAAATCTGAACTAAGTATCGAAAATCCTGAAGAGATAACGCCAGAAGTTTCTGTTAATAATGGGGACCATGGATTCGGAGTCGAGGAAAAGGAGCAGGTCGCTAAAGGAATTCCCAGCGAGGACGAGAAATCGGAAACGACCATCGGCGAAACTACAATAATTGCGGGAAGAAGAGATACCGGTAACGGAAAGACAAAAGCAGCGGCGAGAGGAAAGTCGAGGAACAAAGTCAGCCAAGAAGAAGAAGTCCAAAAAGCTGAGACGAAGGAAGTGTCGCGCGAGATGTGGACGTCACAAAGGTGCGAGATTGGAGCGAATAAAACTGATGTAAAACCAGCAAAAAAGGACTCTCGAGGCGAGGAGAGTCGCCAAGGAAGGATCAAGGAAAATGAAGTGACGATCATAACGGAAGAGGTGCGGGAAGACGAGAGGAACGTTACGAGAAAAACGAGGAGGAAGCCGAAGAACAAATGCAGAATCGAGGTGGGAGCCCTGAAGACGGAGTTGCAGATCGTCGAGATCACGACCATCCAAACTGCACCATTGGAGGCCAGGATCGAGCACATTCCGGGGGTGGGAATCGTGGAGACGAGACACAAAAAGGAGGAAGACGAGCACATTGTCACCGTGGTGGAGCCAATAGAGCCTCTGTCCATCAGCGTGGCCACCAAGGTTAAGACCCTTGGCGATCAATGCGCCGCCCTGGCACAGCTGCCAAAGAACAACAGCTTCGAAATCCACGAAGTCAGTGACAGCGACGTCGAAGCTGACAGCAGTAGAGTGGCAGTGGTCGTGGAGGTAGAGTCCGACGTGGAGAAAGACTCCGTGGGAGACTCGATCGACCTCGATAAGGTTGCCGAAGAGGACAGGGTCGAGGACCTGAAGGGGCTGTACTCGAATTTGATCTCGAGGTTAAGGGACTCCGATGACGGCGAGGACTCCCAAGATCTACTAGAGGACACCCAGGAGGACTCGATGTCAGAGGAGGTAGAAAAGAAGCTGAGGACGTTCATAGAAGGCCTGAAACTACCCTCCTCTGCTGCAGAAGCGAGGGACGAGTGTCGCAAAGTGGAGACCGAGAGGAACCCCGGCGGAAATGTCGCGGCCAGGAAGGCCAAAAAACGAGCCATTTTGGAATCGTACTTCATGCAAACTCAGGCGGCGAACAGGTTTCTGGATATTATCCAGGAAGAGGGGGAGAAGCTGTCCGAAGATGGCGAGCAGCACATCAGGGACTTTATCAACGGAGAGATCGGTAAATACAGGAGAGAGGAACGAGATTTCTCTCATGGTCTTGAAGAAGGTCTCGAAAACATGGAAGACCTCGAAGAAGAAGCCGCTTCTTCGACGGGTGCGATGGGAGATGTTCCCGAGCTAAGTGAAAAAGTTAACCGAGCAGATATCGAGAAAAAGGTTGAAAAGAATGTTAATGAAAGTGTACATAATGGAAGGAAGAAGTCTCCTGAAAGTGGGAATCCTGAATCAAGCGACGTTGAGGCTTCGAATGAAATTGGTGAAGCTCGAATTGTTCCCGATGATCCGAGAAATAGGGAAACTTCTGATCCCGGGGAACTCCGGAATGACAAAAATGGCGGTACCAATTCACACGCCGCGGATAGGAGGAACCAAACTCCCTCTTCAAGGCTTCCCAATCTTGGTAACGATCCACATCTCGAGAGACCACCAACTCCCCCGGAAGTAGACTACCCTAGGGAAGTTCGCGAAGTTCCAGATCCTCCGCAGGAAGTACGACCTGCGCCGAAGACACCCCCAATCCCCCCAACTCGAGGGAAGTTCGTCAACAGCCAAGGCTCTCTTGAAGCTTTGGGGATGCCGCCTTTGTCACCTCCACCGTCACCGCTACCCTCACCACCACCGCCACCGCAGCGTCACGAACCACGAACGAATCGACCAGAAAGGATTTACGAAACCGCTCCTAAATCCGATGTATCGACGCCCCGAGACGACCCCGAAGAGACCACGTTGAGGAATCAGCTGACGAGTGAGAGGATTCAGCGAAAAATCCGCATTTGTGAGTCCAACGTCAAGAGCGAACAGGACGCCGTTGAGTTCATCAAGGTGTTGCTCACGGTATTGTCCAGGAAGGACACGACCAGACAGGACGTCCAGAACGTCCTGACCAGGTTTGACATAAATCAGCTTCCACAGAACATCCAAGATATCATTGATGACCTAATGGCGCCTAGCTCGCACGTGTCCATGGACAGTGACAGCTTGGACTTGCGAAACTCCGACCAGGATTGTGACGCCGAAGTTGGCAGCGATACCAACTCCGAAATAGCGTATGAACGCATTAACGAAGTGGTGTCCCAAAAATCACTGTGCGTTGGTCAGGCCTCGTTAATCGAGCTCAGTCGGTCCGAACAAAATGGGATCTTGCATGAAGAGACAAAACAGGAGCTCTTCAAGGCGTTCGAAAGCGCAATAGCCTCAAACAAGATGATTTCAGAAAAATGCCATAAAAATGCCTCGACCGCTGTAGAAGTAAACGGAATTGAACCAGAAGATGGGATTAATACAGATAAAATTAAAGATGGAGATAAGGAAAACGGAACAGTCTGTGATAAAAAAGAAATTGAAGTGATACAAGACGTAGAGCATAAGCAGGATGACGAAGGGAAGCGAGATCAGGATGCCCAGGGTGATGATAAAAATGAAGGGATAAAAATGAAGAAAGAAGAGCGAGATGTAAATACCCCGAAAATTGAGGATTCGAAAGACTCGACTTCCATTGAATTACAGTCTACCGACTCGAAGTCACCGAATAAATCCGAGGAGGCCGAATGTAGTTCAAGTGCTCAGAGTCCAATCGACTTCCAGGGTCTAGACTCTTCAAGTAGTGCCACGACGTTGAGCACTGCTAAATATAATCCGCGATCCTCATTGGCAGACCTGTCTTCGGTGGTGCAGGACGAGGAGAAGGAAGGAATCAAAGACAAGCAGGGCGCGGACCAAGGATCGCCGCAACCAAAACGGAAGCTGACGTTGCTGAAGGGAGACGAAGATTCGTCGAAAGGATCATCCAAAGATGGCGAAGCTGGTTCCCCTCAGCCGATACCGTATTCGCCGATCGAGGACCTCTATTACGTGCCCTTAGACAAAACGGAAGAAATATCACCCTCCGAAGAGAAACCTGAAGAGCCTCGACCGGATTCGCTGAAGGATCTCTGCGTGAAAAAAATCCTCTCGATGCCGTACGGTATGCAAATAATCAACGAAATAACCCTTCCCAAGTTTAACATCTTCAAGAGCCTGCAAGTGATCCAAGAAGCCGTTAACATTGCTTCCAGGGCTGATAACGAGAGATTAAACACGCATGGTGTGAGTCGATTGGTAGGGTCGGATCGGGAGCCGACAAAGACCGCACTGGGGGATCCTGAAGACCGCCACCCCGCTGTTTCAGAGCAAAGTGGTTCCGACAGGTTGAGGGTTGACGAGAGACCTGGTGTCGGCAAGCCTCGTGTATCCAACCCCAGCAACATGAGAAAGAGACCGCAGACTTGGGTGGGCGTCCCCACGATCCAGGACCCCAAGTTACTGGTGTGTCTGTCGCCATCGCAACAGGAGACAGGAGTTCACGCGAGTGCTGACAACTTGTTGGATTTGCACAAGAAATACCTGGAGCGTCGCAGCTACCACGATGATCATCGATCCGACACCTCTGTGCACAAATATAGAATCGATCTGCATTTAAAGGACGAAGAGCAACCTGCTCGTGTCGCTCCTGATCGTGCCAATCACCCAGATCGCTGGAACACACCCTGGCATGTTCCAAAAACAGGGAACAGGCTTCTCGAGATCATCAAGGAGAACTCCATCCTCCCATCCGACAAGAAATCGTCAACTCCATGTCAAAAGTCATCCTTCAGGGAGTTTGACAAAAAATCCTACCAAAGAGATAAGGACACCATAAGTCAAACAAGAATATCGAGTCAACGTCTTCAGGATGCAAGTCAGGAACGCCTGAGCGCTACTTGTCTGTCGGACTGGTTGCACCTTGCCAGAAGAAATTCGGATGATAACGCTATCTTCGGACAGAACTCCGGTTTGTCCTCGGATAGGTCCAGAGAAAGTGGACAGGGGTGCTTTGACAAAAGTCGTCGAAATTCGTTGCCAGGGATGAGTAATTACCGCCACGTGGGCGATTCTTCAGGGCACCTTCTTCCGGAAGATTACGACGAGCTCTACGAGCAGAGGAGCTCTTCTAGAGTTAGAAATGGTAGAATTGGAGGGGAATTTAAAGTCGAAGGTATGAGCGAAGGCACTTCGGAATTCGGTGGTGTTGGCAAGCGATCAGCTGATAGACCTCACAGTGTGAACAATGCGCTGATAATACGCGAGTCGGGTGATGGGTTTACGAGAAGTGCAACTCCATTTCGAAGAAGTCCAATTTCTATGAACAGCGCCATTATTGACAAGTCTCCTGACACGCCAGATTCCGGCAAAAGGTCCGTAACCTCGCCTCGTAGATTTGAAAACGTTGGTAACGTCAGGAGCAATATCAATTCCGCCTTGATAGATGACAGACCCATCGTGCCACCGAAGGTGAAGAAGCTCGTCAACGTTGACAGATCCTGTATAGACACAACGAGTATATTTGATAAGAGTCCGCCAAAGAATCGCTTGGAACCCAGGAGGTACCATCAGGACCCAGAGAAAACGAGAAACGTCAAGGCTGACGAGATCGTGGAGAACCTGAAGAGGCTCCAATCGGAGATGAAGGGTCACGCAGACGAGCGCAGAAGGTTCTCCCTGCCCCAGGAATACTTTGATCGTCAGCTGCAGTACATTGAACAATTGGAGAACCAACTGAAGGAGGAGGTGCTTGCCGAGGAGTCTGGAAAGGAGATGGACAAAGCTTGTTATTCTTCCGGAAGAGGCACTCTAGAGAACAGGAAGACTCCGTTTCAGGATGGAATGGATGAGCCTTCCTGGAAGCAGAAGAGGACGCGTCAAGAGGAAACGGAGGGTACCGTGAAACTTGGGAAAATAGCTGATCAGGACTGCCAGAGGTCCAGGGACAGCTGGCACGAGGAGTCCAGGAACGTCGGCGACTCTCAGACCGAGATCCTGAAGAGGGACGGTTATCGAGAGTCGATGAAAAAAGTGGTCAAAGATGAAGAATGTTTCAAAGAAGAGTCCGAGACAACGGAGAGCAAGGAGGAGTACACCATAATAACCAAATCCGAGAGGACCTCCGAACCCGGTACTAGTAGATCGTCTTCAAGAAGCTCGCAACCAAAGTCAGCCATCTCGACGAACGCCGCAAACGGCGATACGTTCCGTCAGCAGATGTCCGGCGAAGTCGCGAGCCATGTTCAGGAAAGCAAGGAAGAACGAATTTCTCCCAAGACCGAACTCACCGACCAAAGTACTTCCAAGCCAGACCATCGGCAAAAGTCTTCAGGGCTACCTCGACCAAAATCCTCCATTTCAGCGATCCCAACAAATGGGGAGGTGTTTCGTCAGCAGATGTTCAACGAGTACGTGAACAAGGTTCAAGAACGACTGGAGCGGAAGCATCACAAAGTGATCAAGATCAGCTCCCACGCGGACCTGGAGAAGGTGGAGAACGAGTCCTGCGCCAACATGAACAAGATCGAAAGGGAGTTCATCGAGAAGGCCAGAGACAGACTCCAGAAGTTTGGGATCAAGCTCGACGAGAGCGAACCGGAGGCCCGGAACAGCGAATCGGAGAGAGTCCAGGAGGACCTAGAAGAGGCCAGGTGCGTGGTCGATGGGCAGGAAGTGAAGGACACCAGGAGTCTGCCGAAGCACCTCAGGGAGTTCCTCAAGCTGTCGGCAGCCGACAGCGACGACGGTGAGTCTCGCCTGGAGTACCTAGAGGATTGTTGTGTGCTCGAGACGAGTTGTTGAGCTTTGGGTCATGTTATGAGCCGGTTGCTCGGCTGGAGATGTCACCAGCCAGGAAAGAGCCACCAGCCCCGGATCTTTCCTGAACTTCGTGACTCCTGCGACGGACCCTTGAATGTTAACACCTAATGGGCTGACTAACCTGCCGCACCTGGCGGAATCGCGTGGCTCGTGATTTTGTGCGTGTCCTCCCGTCACTAATGCACCTGCCCCACTTCCCGTTGGATGTCAAAGTAGAGTCGTTGGACGCGTGGACGTTGCACCAGGTGCTAGTCTCGGATGTTCGCCTCGTGCCATCGACGTTCCCCAACGTTCTGGACATTCCACGATTGCATCGACTCCTGGTGCCCCCGGGTATTCGTTTCGCGCGGGGAAACGCTTGGCGTCGCATACCATGAATAAACACAACGACCCGAATGTCTATAAATATGGAAACTCTTCCGCGACGCGCTACTTAAAGGAGATTTCTTCGGCAACGAGAGTCTCCAAGAAGTCACGGGGGCAGGCCCGAGGGCGTCCATCATCCGCAGCTGCAGCTGCGGCCTTCCTGGCCGCAGAGATATCCCCGTTTCCGCTCGTACGTTTTACCCGGGGGGTCGCTTCGTGGTTGTCTAAGGTCGTGACGAACCTGGGACCCCTAAAAGGAATCATAAAATGCTGATAATAATTCAACGCGGTTCTTCCTTCGCTCGCGATCGTACGTTTTACTTTCCTGGACGTGATTTCCTTGCCTGGATAACGAAAGGCACGGATAAACGCCTCCATAAAACTGAAGACAACGGAAATAGATGCTGAAATACGGGCTGCCGGGTCGAAGATTACCATGTTTTGCAGACTTGGACGACCGTGATGCACGGGCCCGTGCAGGGCAAACAGCGCGGAAAACTTCCTTTGAGCTTCTGAACGCGATTTTTCCATCCGCAGTAATATACCACCCCGGTATAGCGATGACGTACGACCCAACTTCCGGATCCACCTCTAACCCCGGAGAAACCTTTAGTACTTCACAAGTTTTCACCCCTTTGGACCCGTCAGCAGTTTCGACGTTGATGCACCCGCTGACGTATATCTTTAAAGAACGCCGACCCGGGGCTTTACGGTGCCCATAAAGAGTCGCCGTGGGTCCAAGGATTTTTTGTTGTTTTTTTTATTTTTTTTCAGTAAAAGTGGGAGGGGATTATGTCACCAAACTTGGGCATTACCCCTCCCATCGAGCCCGTTTAATTTCTGTCTTTATACGAAATTTAGAGACACCTCTTTAATTCGTCCCGGGCTTAGAGGGATGTTATTCAAATGATTTGGGAAAACATTCAGCCGCGGTAGCGCGCCGTATTTCGTAGCCGTGGATTCTTTAGAAATGTTAACGTTAATCGCACTTTTCAGGGAGTAAAGAGGTGCCGGGGATTTTTCGAAAAATATGGCGACCCGGCGACGGAAGTTGCGATCCGTCGCGACGCCTCGCCGCGTCCCAATGGGAACTTCGGAGCCGGCGTTTATTTTTCACGTGGCCTGAACTCACGGCCCGACGTCATGCCGCTGATTCATGTTAGAGACTACTATATTTAGGTCGCAACGGGAAATAGGCCAGTGTAGCTGGACGTTACGGCATCGCGCTAAAGGCGAGCCCACCGACTTCTTTTCCGGCTATTTCCACGCCGTTGCGACACGAAGGCATCCTCTGCCGGTCGAGTTATCGCCCTTTCCCTGTTTCACAAAATTTGGACAACCTTCCTTGAACGTCTCGAGATTCTTCCACCCCAGGAGAAATGTCCTGAGATGAAAAACGACCGCACAGGAAAAATATACACTTCGATTCTTCCTTCTCGGATATCTTTTATCCCGGACGTTGACGCGTGTCTCCGAATGCTCCAGTTTGTCGAGCATGTTTGTCGGCCGGCATTATGCGGCGTCGTATTTTCGGAGGAAAAAACCAATGAAGGATCTCGGTGTTGACGCGGTCTCCCCTAAACGTAAGGTTAATTTATTCTTCGGGGCCCTCCTCGACGTCGTCGCGCGATGCCTCTAGGATAGAAGGGGTCGCTTCGATTCTTTCTATTTCCGTCGCGGGTTTCGCTGCGTTGAAAAGAAAAAGCCCCGACAAAACGACTCGCGAGCTCAATTCGCCGATGAATCAGAGATATCCCGAGGGAACGCAAATAAACCCCGGATGTCCCGCGGGACGATCGCTCTCGATCTAACTCGAAGAACTCGCAGCTAACTCTTCGTCCCTTGCTTTCCTCTCCTTTCCTCCCCCTCTCGGCTTGCTCATGGATAATGATTTTACTCTCGCTTTGCTCGCTCGCATGCTTTTTGGTTAACGAACAGTGGCTATGGTATTGCATTTCCAGCTGGAGAAAAATCGAAAGCGACCGATCTGCTGCACGAGATCGACGCGGCTTTGAAAGTCGGCAAGGGATTTCTGCTTGGCCAAGGTGCGTCCCTCGAAGCGAGCTCTTCGGGGCTCGTCGTGAGGATTTAACGAGTGCTTCACTTTTTAAGGGTATTAACTCGAGTCTCGTTAAATCCGGTCCCAATGATCGCCCTTTCGCCGCTGCCTCCTGATTGGGTAACGTGCCTCTCACTGAATTCTCCTCGCTAAAGGAATAATCGTCTTGACAGAATTTCTTAAACAACCTGTTAATAATATTTAACCCTCGTCTCTTGACCCCGAAGACAGGAGGGGAGACTCAAATCGCATTTTTCAGCCATCGAAGGAAACCATTTTCTACATAGAAATTTAATTAATAATTAATCTGAAACATATTTTCGGTAATTTCACCGGGGAAAAAGAAATGTCGTGCAAAGGTGTTACCTCGGTTTGACCATTTTCTTTTTTCTTTTGTTTTTGGTAGTTCTGGGAGCGGGACAATTTTGACATCGTTCTCCCGTTTGAGAACACGCGGGTCAATCGCGGAACCGGAAGTTCGACAGCGATCGCATCGAACAGCCTTCGATTCTCGGTCACACGGTCGCGGCGGTTCGGCTCTTTTCCGTTCCCTCCAGTTTTTCACACGTAATTGAACGTCGATCCAATTTCCTGAACCTGCGGATCGCATGGCCCGCGATTAAGGCGGGTTTGCAACGGCCGATCCGCTCGATGGTTCCGGTCTGTAAAAGTAAAAGTGGGGACCCATTACACCTACGTACATGGGTTACATGAGTCGGGAATTAAATCGCAACGTGGCCTCCTTTTCCAAGCAGCGGGATTACCGTCATCCACTTTGTTAACGATTTTTTCGATTTTTCGGTAATTCACTTTTCACGGAAGACGATTGAAATTTTGACGGAGGGTTAACGATAAAAGAAAGGGCATCCCTGGAGAATGTGGTGTCATATAATGGGTTTTTTTTTATTGTGAAAAAAAGTGATCAATTGGAAGCGCAAGACTCGAAATCGATGCCGAAGGGTTCGATCTTCGATTCGTGGAGACCCTGACGTGAGACCTTCACGGCCTGATTGGCTCGCTTGGCGTCGGTGAAAATATCGCGTTACAATTCATAGTTACCTCACGTATACATCCGATTACGTGGGCGTTTGTTACGTTGCCGCATCATTGTTACGTGATACGCACTCTTCAAGGCCACGGTCACACCTACGCGGCCACGATAAGAAATCGTAAGGACGTCACGCGCACTTTAACTCCTTGGGAACCGGTCTCGTGCTTTTGTTGGTATTCGAGCTGTGGAATGCGAAACTAGATGAATGTCAGGAGAAAAACCCACAAAGAAAGATAATAAATTTTATGAAAGACAGTCTGCTAGATAAATAAAATGTCCAATATTTTATCATATTGATAAGAGTTCAAAATCTGTTCCCGGCGGAATTTTAATATCAACCGATGGGACAAGGACTACGATTTTTATTTCGGAGTCAAGAGTGCGTCAGAGTGCATCAAAGTGTTATTGCTGGTACTCGAGCTGTGGAATCTGAAACTGGATGAATATCAGGAGAAAAACCCACAATGAAAGATAATAAATTTCATGGAAGACAGTCCGGTAGATAAATGAAATTCCCGATAATTTATAATTTTGATAAGATTTTAAAATTGGTCCCCGGCGGAATTTTAATATCAACCGATGGGAGAACGACTACGATTTTTATTTCGGAGTCAAGAGTGCATCAAAGTGCATCAAAGTGCTTTTGCTGGTATTTGAGCGGTGGAATGCGAAATTGGGTGAATTTCAGGAGGAAAACCCACAAAGAAAGATAATAAATTTCATGAAAGACTGATCGTTCCGGTACATAAATAAAATTCCAGATATTTTATCATTTTGATAAGATTTTAAAATCGGTCCCCGGTGGAATTTTAATATCAACCGATGGGACAACGACTACGATTTTTATTTCGGAGTCAAGAGTGCACCAGATCCCGATTTCCAATTTCACCTGATTTGTGCACCTCTTCGGCGTCTTCTGAAGAGGGCAAGAATGGACGATATATCTCGGGACGCACGCTGGAGGGATATCCATGCGATATTTCCCAACTCGATTCCAGGCCGGCGACTCGATTCAATCTTTCCCGAAGGATTGGCATTACGTGAAAATCTACTCGACGTCCCTAAGGACAGCTCCCGGCCACGATGCATCGGTGCAAAGGTGCAACAAGAAGGGGACCGTCGGCCCCTTGGGATGCACCTCTTCCTGCACCGAGGCATCCGGGATTGTTTCTCTGACCCCTCACCGTATCTCTTCGTGGACCATTGTTTCTATTTTATTTTTCCCAAGATGTTGGACGGAGAGAAAATCAATTAACGAGACAAAGTGTCGGTCATTATGCACCGAAGGCACGACGACACGTTAATATTCGGCGTGACCACTTCGATTTAGGACACACCAGAGAAGCTGCCTCCCGATAGTGCACAGCTGCAGATTCGCGTGGGAGCCCGCCACGAGTTTGGCGCAGTTTACCTCGACGTAGATGGAGACGAAGAAATTGTCTGGACACAGAAACTATCAAGTTATCAATTTCAACCCCCAATTTGCCCGTCTTCATATGCCCGACCACAAAAAAGGTCTTCAAATCCGATACAACTGATATTCCCACCCTCTCGAATTTTTTAAACAAGTACGATAAAATCCTGTAATCACTCAAGATACCAAAACCTACCCAAGGCATTTTTCATCCGATCGAAATCATAAACATTTAACCCTTTAAAATATCCTTCTCTGCACAGGCCATACGCGGAGGATGCCTTTCGACGTTCGCACGTATAACCACTAATTGCAAAACTATCACTCGTCAGGAACGATAAAGAAAATTGGAAAAAATTTTAATGAAAATTCATTACATTAAAAGTGCATATGTGCGGTTAAATAAAATCTTTATCCTATAGTTACATCTATTTCCCGTCCTTCAAATGGCCGTAGAATTATATTATCGTACAAATGGTGCACCGATGCAGACTCACGTGGGCGGATGCTTCGGGTTTTGGCGCATGCCCGACCACAAAAAACGTCTTCAAATCCGATACAACTGATATTCCCACCCTCTCCAATTTTTTAAACAAGTACGATAAAATCCTGTAATCACTCAAGATACCAAAACCTACCCAAGGCATTTTTCATCCGATCGAAATCATAAACATTTAACCCTTTAAAATATCCTTCTCTGCACAGGTCATACGCGGAAGATGCCTTTCGACGTCCGCACGTATAACCACTAATTGCAAAACTATCACTCGTCAGGAACGATAAAGAAAATTGGAAAAAATATTTAATGAAAATTCATTACATTAAAAGTGCATATGTGCGTTTAAATGAAATCTTTATCCTATAGTTACATTTATTTCCCGTCCTTCAAATGGCCGTAGAATTATATTATCGTACAAATGGTGCACCGATGCAGCCTCACGTGGGCGGATGCTTCGGGTTTTGGCGCAGCCCGTTTACGTCGACGTAGACGGCGTCGCTGACGGCGGCCACGAGCTCCGGCGTCGCGACGCCCCAGTACAGCTCGGTCGTCCGCGGGCTCGATCGCTTTCGCGCCGAGGGCGTCGCGACGCCTCTGCCTCGCCACCTATCCGACTCTCGAGCAACCCCATAACCCCCATTGGGCCTTAAAAGGGGTTGATATCGTTCCCTGACTCGCCAGGCCCGATCGAGTGGCGGCCATGTTAGAGAAGAGTGAGTGTTAAACGAGAAAAAAAAAAGAAAATGACAAAAGAGGAGAAACCAATCGGCTTATCAGTTTTGTAGTGCTGGACCAAACTCACGCGATGATGCTGGTCCTCCAAAAAGTTTATTTCGAGACTAGTGTACTTTTTTTAGGGATTTTTATCGGGTGGTGAATCTAGGATTATTCTAGGCTGGACTCTGTATTTATAGACTGCTGGGATTGGAGGTCGGATGTTGGACTGGTGGTCGTTTAGGTTTAGAGGTTGAATGTCAGGTCTTGGGTGGATTTACTTTTGGATTCTACATTTTTCATCTAGAATATCCCTTCGGAAACCTTATTCTGAATGTAACTATTTATTGTTATAGGTAGTGAATTCGATTGATATTTATTTGGACGTAGAATCTCGAGTTTGTTCCTTCATGGTTTAGGGAAGCGTGTATTATATTTTTCGAGCATCTTCGGAAAGGTCGTGGAAATTCTCTCACGCCTCGAATTATGTAATAGGGTAATTTACCGGGAGCGTTACATCACTGCCATGTTTTGTCGGCTGACAGGTTAAATAAACAATGTAACAAAATGTGAGCTCGGAGGCTCACTTTGCACTAATGGAGAAATAGACGATAACCGCGTTAGAGGGGTGGTCAAATTTTGATCGGGTTCTCGATTGCTCCGAAATTGGGGAAGATAGCGTAACTCCGTTCAATTATGTAATTGGACTCGTCTGCGTGCCGTCTGTCACGGATATTGCCTAGAAATCGAGATATTTAATAAAGAAGACATAGACAATCGAGTAATTATTACACAAGATGAAATTCACCGGGGAGGAGTTATTTATTTTAATTTATTACAGTTACGTTCTACCTATTTTTTTATCTAAGGAACATTTGAAAAGGCCGATCGATCTGCCATAGGAAAAATCCGATAACTCGTCAGTCAATTATATAAGGAGATCATCTTACGAGTCACGTCTCATCGACGCGTCCCGGGCGTCGACAAATTAGAAACAGGAAATATGGTCTTCGCTATTTTCGTATTCTCATTCGCTCTTCCTCTGATGCTTGCCTTCGGTCTCCACAATCCGTATCCTGGCCGTGCTTTTCCCCGAAGCTTTTGCAGATGAAAAAAGCACGTGACATCAATACTCAAAGCGCGACGCCAGATCGGGAACGGATTCGCCTCGCGAAACCGAAGCAAAATAATTTGCCAGGAAAAGAAGGACGTCATTAAGAGCGCAAAATGAATTTTCATCTACCCTCCTTCGACCGGACAAATTGGTTTGATTTTTAAATCAAGATGTCTCTGTGAAATGATTTTCATATTTTTATATAGAAAAGGGAATCTTCCGCGGTTGTAACTTGATGACCGCGTTCACCGTGTTGTGCTCTAGTTGAAACTGCAGCTACCATTATTTAGCTGCAACTGCAAGCACGGCGACTCGGGGAGGATCTATTCTGAGAGTCCTGCAACGAAAGAGTTAACATACACTGTAATGTCGGTGCAAGTGTGTGGGAAAGCCACGGAGTAGCTACCCAGAGCTTGCAGAGCCTTCGTGCAGTTCAGGTGGTAGGGATTCTCTCTTCATCTCCTCTCTTCTTCCCTTCTTCTCGTCTTCTTACGCCGCCTTCCCCCGACCCCCCGCAAACTCATCAAGCGCGCTTCAGTATTAATGAACTGCAAAGACAGAAGCCGTCTTACCGTCACACCAGCTCCATAAGTCTAAGCGATCTCCGAGTTAAGCACCGTTCGTGACTCCTGCAGCTCGGATGGGAAGCTCGGAAAGCTTCGTTGGGTTATCCTGCTCTTCTTCCAAGCACCATCCAGAAAAAAACCTTTCAATTGCTGCTAAACGTGATGTGCCAGGAATGAAAAATGTCACGCTATATTAAATTGCAATCGGTGATCCTGTAATTCCCGTAGAAGATCAAAAGTAGAGAGAGCGAAGATAAAGCTGGACATTTTCTCAGTGATCCTTGAATTTCCATGAAAAATAAAATATGGCGAGACTGGAAAGAAATATGGAGATCTTGTCAGCTCGAATTTTGCAAGCTTCTATTGTCTTTGGAAAGTTCAAAGACTATATCGATGTCTCCGTCAGCAACATCGATTCCTAAGTAGTCCAAGTCGTGTTTAACTTTCCTCCACTTTTCGCTTCACGGATAGAATGCTCTTCGGCAGCTGCCAGGGACGATAGCCTGCTGCGAATTTTTCCTTCGACGTCGTCTACGTATTAATGAACGCTTCAGTATTAATGAACTGTAAAGACAGAAGCCGTCTTACTGTCACACCAGCTCCATAAGTCTAAGCGATCTCCGAGTTAAGCACCGTTCGAGACTCCTGCAGCTCGGATGAGAAGCTCGGAAAGCTCCGTTGGGTTATCCTACTCTTCTTCGAAGTACCATCCAAAGAAAACCTTTCAATTGCTGCTAAACGTGATGTGCCAGGAATTAAAAATGTCACGCTATATTAAATTGCGATCCTGTAATTCCCTTAGAAGATCAAAAGTAGAGAGAGCGAAGATAAAGGTGGACATTTTCTCAGTGATCCTTGAATTTCCATGAAAAATGAAATATGGCGAGACTGGAAAGAAATATGGAGATCTTGTCAGCTCGAATTTTGCAAGCTTCTATTGTCTTTGGAAAGTTCAAAGACTATATCGATGTCTCCGTCAGCAACATCGATTCCTAAGTAGTCCAAGTCGTGTTTAACTTTCCTCCACTTTTCGCTTCACGGATAAAATGCTCTTCGGCAGCTGCCAGGGACGATAGCCTGCAGCGAAGTTTTCATTCGACGTCGTCTACGTAGAAGACTTTGACTTTGACTTTGAATAGAATAGTTTCTGCTCCCGAGAGGATAGGATCTCCGATAAAAGTACCTACATCGAGATGTTGCACTCGACTTTCGGCTGGCTTGTCGAAGTTCCTCCAGGACTTGGTCAGGGCACTTGGCTTCTTAACGGGCTGAAAAGCATGTAATGGCTTCTTGGCTCGACAGGATCACTGTCAAGTCCTCGATGCGTTCCTTGTTCGTCGTCCGACCTGGCCGGTTATTTGAGAATAAAATACACAACGTGAAACTAATAAGACAGATCATTCTGAATCGGAATAACCAGAGTTCGGACAGCGCGTGAAAAGCTGGAAAATGGTGAAACCACTGCGGAACCCCAATCGACAACACGTCAGAAACGAAAGAATTTGAAATTTCCCCTTTCCGACACATGTGTCAATTATTTTTGCCGCGTTATCGGTTTATTTCGTTCTCTGGACAATCACGTTCGACCATGCGAAGCAATCCGGAATATGGATGTTCCGTTATTACAATTTGTGGAGGGAATTAATTAAATGAAATTGTCGTGTCTTTCTCTATTACATCCGCACGCGGTGGTTCTTGCGATCAGCTGATCGAATGTCAAATTCAAGAAAAAAAGAAAAAAAAATACATTTAAGAACGAATCATTTCCTGCTTCCAGAGAACACCATGTTCGCTCCGACCTTTAAAGCTTCGGCTGTGAAAGGAGGTAAATCAAGTGTGGCCTAACATGACTTGTTCGTTTGTTTTATCGATGTTTATGACAGCTGAGAGAACATGGCAGAACGTCCTAATGACGGACGAAATGTCATTTATCATCGTGACTCCACCTTAATAACCACCGTGACAATGACAGTCGAAGAACTCGACCCGCAATGATTTTATAATAAATATTGAAGCCTTCTAAAAATATATAAATTGTACGTTCAACAATCGTTAAGATTCTGCCCTCTGTCAATTTTTTTTGAGTTCTTTGACTGTTAAAGGAATGTTATCGAATTCATAGAAGGTCCCACTAATAAGTAATGATATCCATTGCATGAGTGATGAAATTAAAATTAAAATGACTGATCATGTGAGTATCGACGTGTACCTCCTCGTGCTTTTAAATATTTTCGACAAATTCTGACGAGTTTGCAGAATCATATATTGTAATTGGAATTTGAGATGAAGCGTACGTAAAAAAATAATTGCGTATGGAAACTGCACGGAAGGCAATTAAATCTGTTATGGAAATGCAATAAATCATGAAGTACAATATCAACTTCATCCGACCGAAAATTGAGTAATAATTGGTATTGCCAAGCATTTCCATACCGCGTCATTTTCACGGATGCCCGTTTCAATAATTACCCATTTTCCGATGTATTATAAAAATTTGTATAAGCGAAAAATCGACGTAAAAATTGTAGTCAGCTTTGCGGGAACTTTTTTTGAAAATCGCCCAAACAATTGGTGCGATCCATTCTCGAAATAAAGTTATTAACGTGCGCAGATGGTTCTGCTCCAGAAACCTGGACGACCCTATAATTTCAAAACTTTACGAGATTCTGAAATTACATCGTTAAGAGCAACCAATCAGGAATGTCCCACATTTGGTCTAATTTCGAGGATCCCTTTCTAATGCAATTCAAAAAGCGAGATCTGCGGTTGATTTTTTTTCGAATTTTCCTCCCCTTTTTTTGTCATAAACTTCCTCCTCTTTACGTGGATCCCGTTCCTTTTCTGCTTCCACGAGTTTATTTTCTCTGATTAATCATTTTGGTGGAGGAATTTATAATCACCCTACCTCTTTCTGTACAGCTCAGCTCGAAGCACTTCCAGTTACGCAAACGTTTCGTAATTTATCCTTCATTGTCAATTAACAGCAATCAGGATGATATCGAACAATCTGAGATTGAATTACATACTCAAAATAAGTCGAAGTAAGAATTGGCAATTTAGTGCAACTTCGCCGTTTCTGCGCTCGTTATTAGCATTAAAACGAAGCATAATTCACCGTCAGAAACAGGCTGGTTTACTCGGGATTATTCTAACATTATAATTATGCTCTAATGACACAATATATCACGACAATTTGGCAGAACGGGGGCTGAATCTTTTTGCTCTCCCACCATTTTCGGGCCGCCTGCAATGAGTAAGCGACAGGGTAAACTGCCAAGAAATTTTACCGTCCTTTATGTAACCTGTCATCTCGTGCCAAGATTAGTGTCGCATCTCAAATCGTACATTTTCACCCTTAAAGTTTCCTCCTACATTCGCATTTACGGACATTGATTGGCAAGTACAAAGACCCATGGTTCCTCTAATGAAATTAGCATCACAGTCGCGGATAATTTCAAACGATACATAAACACCCATTCCCACGGGATTTATTTCGAGTAATCCAATCATCTGTTCTACAAAGTCTTAAAGTATTAATGGGAAATATATAAAATATAAAATTAAACTCATTTTAATAAAAAGAATCCCTATGAGGAGTCTTACAAAGAAGCTTACGCTCGTAATGGCTGGCGGCGTTATAAAAGTAGAGAGAGTTTGCAAGAAATCAGGCTGGAAGTATCAAAATCCAGATTTGAAAAATTGCCTGGTAAAAGGATCATTGCTCTTGGAAGCTGAAAGGCGATTTCGCAGCTCGGCATGAAAAATGTTAAAAGACCCTCTCGGGTCGATGGAGGGAATGGGCCCTAATAATTCTGGCAAAGGGAGGAAAGCACCCCTCACATTCCTGACAGGAATCAAGGAAGGTCTCGAATAAACGGGAAATTGATGCTGTCAACAGGAGTGTGGTCTCCAGGAAGCGAACCTCCACCACCACCGAAGGTACCCAGCCCGGATCGTGGCAAGGACGAAAAGGATGCTGCGATCCCGCCCGTCTGGACCCCCTCGAGCGCAGGAGCGAGTCCTGTGCCCGAAAGGAAGGAATTCCGTCCTGTGCCCTTCGAGAGCCCGATCCTAGGCCGGAAGAAAAAACCGGAACCACAGGTAAATTAGACATTCCGATAACCGGGATAATTAAACTGATTCCAGAATGTTATCCTTTAACCCTTTCGTTACCTTGGACAAGATATCTCGCGACCCAATACTGGCTGATTAACGCTTTTGACGAGATATCTCGCGATCCGGTAGTAGCGGATTAACGCTTTTGACGATAATCTAGCTTCCTAGCACCAATATTTTCACATTCTAGATGAATATATTTTATAACTAATTTTATTCGTATAGCTAAAAGGAAGAAATAAATACAGCTACTACCGGATCGCGAGATATCTCGTCAAAAGCGTTGATCGGCTACTACCGGGTCGCGAGATGTCTCGTCAATAGCGTTGATCGGCCAGTTTCGGGTCGCGAGATATCTCGTCAAAAGCGTTAATCGGCCAGTATTGGGTCGCGAGATATCTCGTCCAAGGTAACGAAAGGGTTAAAAAATTCCAAATCGTTCAACTTTTGCACCCATGATTGCGTTATCATCTGTTTCAGTCTTCCTCGGAGGAGACGACAGTTCCTTGGAAGGAGGAGGGAGAAAAAAAGGAAAGCTCTCATACCGTCTCCCAAAACGTCACGTCTCGAATCGTCACCTCGCTCTCTGCACCCCCTCAAGGGCTGAACACCCTCGCAGGTGCCCCCCGATTGCCCAGAGCCCAAAATCCTACGATCACTTTATTACAAAAAGCAAGAGGTGAGCGTCTTTAATAGTACGAATTTTATTATTAATTTTAAAACTCGTAGGATAATATCAAATTCAGGCGCCAAACTCTTCCAAGACCGCGTATCATTCCCCGCCTCGATGAAAACTCTTGAATTACAAGTTTGTCGTGCTTGTCACATTTTTAATGAATTATTATTTTACTTTTTCTCATTTAGAGGGACAATTACCGAAAGGTGCGGCCTACTTGGACGAGAACGAGAGTGCCTCTCGTAACAGTAGCGACAGCAAGCCTCTGATCAGCCCTGGAGAAGTCGGTAAGTGCGGTTCCCACTTATCTTTAACCCTTTTACGCCTTTTTTACACATATTACCCTTTGAGAGCGCGGGAAACCGAGGGTGGTTCGCGACTTTCGCGATTTTACGAGCGACCCTTGCAAATGCAAGCCCGTCACGCGACCGGGTGATAACTCGACGGCGACACTTTGCAAATTGATGTCACGAGTGCGCCATTTCGTGATAAGAGCTCCCCGAGAGCCACGGAGTCGATCCTAATGCGAATTCGATCAGTCTACACGGTGAAGAGAGAGTACGAGAGCGAACCGGAAGTCGAGACCCAGCCGCCGAAGAAGATGGCCGATCTGGGACCAAGGAAACTCGAGGGCATTGGCCCCATCACCAAGGAGGGCATTCCCCTCGTCCTGAGATCGGTATGTCCTTATCATTCCTTCACAATGTTATATAACATATGCATATAAATTTGACGTACTACTCGTAACAGAATAATCTGCCAAATTTTCTGATCTTCTGGGTCTTATCCAAAGAGAGCACTTGCACAAAAGTTGCATATTTTCGACGCCCCTTCTCGCAATTTTTATTAGAACCGGATTAAAGAATCTCTTTTCAGGAAGTCAAGGAGAACAACCAGGCTAAGTGGTACAAGAAAATGTACGATTCCCTGCATCGTTCCGACAAGGACGGTTCGTATTTCTTTTTGCGTAATTTGATGCTCGAGATTTTCGCGTTACATTGAAGTTGCCAGGATCCGGTTGTTATTTTCGCTTGAATTTATCCGATATTAGTTTGGTATGACCTTAATACGCGAATATTGCTCTCGGTAAGGTGGCTGCTCCATTGTGTCGACGTAACATGTTTACGGCCCTCTAAAACCGCCGTATTAGGGCGGCCTTCCTGTGATCCAGAGATTTTGGGCATCAGGTTGACATTTAACCATATTAAAATCAACGTCGGATTCAATCTCGTCGTTACCACCTCGACGCTGTCGATGAAGGTGACGCCTTTACGTCGACGATAAATTGTAACACTCGGAGGACGTAAATGGCCCGCGAGTTAAACTCGGTTTAACGGCTGCAGTTAAAGCAGCCGGTGAAGGTTTACGGCTCGTCGAAATCTCACACGGACGAGCCCCGCAATGTTATCGGATTTTCCTTCTTTATTTCTAAACTGTGCAACGATTTTCTTCCTGCCTACAGCCTGATGATAAAATTAGAAAGTGATGGCTGAATGTGAAAAAGAAAAGTGGAAGATAGAGTTTTCGTTCCTTACTTTTATTTTTTGTTTCCGTATAACGAAAGGGCGTCGGTCGATTTTCGGAAAGGTGTTATTAATTAACAAGATGTTACTTTTTGCAGATGATTACATAACCATCCGGTACAAGCCACGGAGAGGTGAATATCTTCTTAAAGTACAGCATCTTTGAGAGTCGAGGTTCCCCTGCAAGGCAGCCTGCTAATTTTAACAGTTATTAACAAGCGACTAATTGCTTTCGTGTAATGGTATTTTCAGCACGACAGTAGTCTAACCACAGGAATGGTCGGACCAGCCATATGTTAATGGATGCACTTCGCCACCCGAAGTGCAATGGCTCCGATAATATTAACTATTAACTTTGACATTGTTACATCGTTTTAACGTGGAGATTGTTGCGAACCCCCTCTAATGTACGCTAACTATTGTAAATATAAATCTGCCAAACGCGGTATGTTTTGTTTTCACTCGCACCCGCAATAAAGAAATTCACTCGGGTCGAATAAATAAAATTCGGCTCAAGTGAATATTTTAGTACAATTATGTTTCTTCGAGGCAATAACTCGTAGAATTTATAGACTTTAACTACGGAATTAACTGTCTCGGGCATCTTGACACGTGGCAGTCGAAATAAATTCCAGCGATTTGCTTTTCGAAATTCTTTGCTACTTTTAAGCTTAGAGAATATTTCGTCCTTCGGAATTAATGTCAGAGATTTACTTTGTTCGTCAAGGAGCAAGACACGGCTACGGAAGTTCCAGCGGATATCTCAGCGAACCTGAACCTCGTTATTCCGAAAGATCAGCAACTCTTGACAGTCGGCGACGTCCACGAAACAAGGAAAATGACTTCTCCGCGTCAACTATGCCCAGAAAGTGAGAATATAGTTTCTGACCCGAGAATCTAATATCCAGCCTGAATAGATAACGCTCCTATTTTAATAATTTCACATTTTCTCTTCAATTTTAGAAATGGGCCCCTAAAGTATTCCTCGGACTCGTATCGCAATCAGCCAGGTCGAATCGAAGATTACGAACCAGGACGGTCGTCGATCGCCGAAAAGGAGACCAAAGAGGTAAATTGAGTCAATAGATATTACAAATCGATGAGTAGCCGATAGAGGAAACAACTGTTCGAGCTAGAGATCAAATTAACGCAATTTTATTTTATGTTACCGCCTTATGAAAACTTTGTTGAGGAAAGATAGATCCGGGATATTATCTCTACATAAATATATTTCCAATGTTCTTCTCAAGTGAGCATAAATTATACTTTCGTCGGGCGATCAAATTTTAGGGGGCTTTATTTCTCGCATCTCGACCCTCATTTTCAAAGTGTATCATTGTTCAACACTTGTCCGAATGTGTCCCAGTATTTATCGTAACCCTATGATGTACGTAATTGTTCAGAAAATTTAAATCCCGAGTTACCTGCGAGTAGTGAGGTCTAATTAATAGTTGATGGGTAAAGAGTGCGCTATTATCGGATAGCTCTAATAGACTTAATTAATAATTGAATTTGAATTACCGAAAGGCGCGTAACCGAAGCGTCGACAGTGACTCCAACATGATAGTTTCAAATGGCTTTGCTTCTAGCCAACATCTAACACTTGGACAAAAAGGAAGGTAACCGCTGATTCGACGAAAGAAAAAAAAAGGAATATACATACATATATACACATATATATAAAGCGAAGCTTTTCAAGTTTCGTTGCGCTTTTATACATTTAATACGCTGCCACGAAGTACGAACTCGTTTTACCGACAGTGACGGAAGTACTTTCTTCTTACATTCTGTATGTTTTCTTTCTCTTATTCACCCTTTTCGTTTTCCCGAGGACAGACTGGAAACGCGTGACGATGCTTCGACGCGAGGCCATTCGGTTTTTAAATTTTGGTTAGCTTCCCTAGAGTTGCTTGTAGTTGTTCCCAATATTAGAGATTCAGTTACTTTTCATCCGTCCTTGACCGTCAAACCAACTTCTACATTCATACATTTCTGGCGTTCAATTTTCACCGTCGACGAAAGGATTGGATGAAAAGTACCTACCAAGTAGAACCCCGTCCACCTTTTTTTAATCTCGTTAACGTTAATTTATATTTACATGTCCCGGTAGACCTCACGCATAGTATAACGCAATTGTTTACTTCTATTTTTCTAGTGGTGGGACGAGGTCATGGACATATTTGACGGGGTACGCCATTTTCATACTAAGCATCATTAATTAAGATCATGCTCTCACTTTATAGAATAAGATAAGTCCCAGTCGGGCTTCTTTTGAAAATTCTGCAAAATGGAAACGAGGAAACGTGAACGTTTGATAAATAAAATATTCACCGTCGCTCCACAAGATGTGAATAAAATATTGGTAACCGATCGAGCCATTTTGAATTCTCAAAAGGAGTCAACGGGACCCGCCGAAGTCTGTTCACGTAATCACAGAATTGGCTTTAAACTCACACCTAGTAAGTGATTTCCACCCGCCTGGATCTTCGGCTCTCTCTCTCACCCTGTTTCTCTCACCTATGGTAAATAACTCACGTGTTGGTAGTTTCGTGTCTTCGAGCACTCACCCACACACGCGTCTCGCCCAAAGATCCCGTCTTCCAAGAGACAAACCATAACCACCATCTTCAGCGCCTCTAAAACCACTCCCACCCACGTCCCATTCTCGTCTTCGAGCGTAAAAAATGGCAAGTCCCCTCAAATTTTCAAAATTCTCTGCACCACCCCGACCACCACCACCTCGAAGCGAGACCCACCCAGAGAGTGGTCGGCGTTAACGAAGTTCCCTCGCTCTGTGTTGCTGTGTCCTTGTGGGGTGGCGAGGGCAGTGGTTGGACGAGAACGGACGGCCCCGAGGCAACGGGCTCGAGGAGCGGCTCCAGCAGCACCGAAATCAGGAGCAGCAGCAACAGCAGCGATACCAGCAACGCCTGATCTCGCAGTCCTCTAGAGCCCTGAGCCTCTCCTACAGGCCGGACAACCCCCGCAGTGTAAGGCTACCATCGTTAGAGGGTGGCCGGGGGGTCTCGAGCCCGACCTTGGCCTTGGCAGCGGCCTTGGCCTCGAGCCGGGGGCCCCAGGGCCCCGAAGAGGGGGCCCGACCGAGTCTGGCCCCGGGTCAGGGTCGCCGGTCGCCGCTCGACGCGCCCCCCGGCCTTGGGGTGGGTCAGGGTCGCCGATCGCCGCTCGACGCGCTCTCGACCTCGACCTCGAGGACCCGCTCGACCCCGAAGAGCGAGAGGGCCGCGCGGGCCAGCAGGCGGCACGCGAGCGACGACGACGCGACCTCGGCCGCGACCACCTCCACCACCCCCAATTCCGGCATCATCAAACCCCTGCGCGCCGACCTCTACGGCATGCTGGAAGGGAAGTCCAAGAGTTTCGTCCTGCCGGACCGATACCTCCACCGGTCCGTGCCGACCGCCGGTCCCCGGTCGGCGGGCTCGGCCGATCGCGGGGACCGACCCTTCACGCCAGAGCCCGACAATCGCGAGCACCGACACCGTCGCCAACATCGTCTTCCACCTTCTTCTTCCACCTCTTCTTCTTCATCCAGCACTAATCATACCATTCTGCCACCGGCACGCTCACCTTCTGCTCGGCCTCCTTCACGGGTTAGAGGTTTCTCCACTGGTAGAGTGCACGTTCCATTTATATTCTATCTCTTTCCCGGCTTTCTAGGTCCATCCCTCCGTTCCGTTGACCATCCGACGGAGTTCTGGTCGCTTTCGCCCACTTCGTCGTATCGGAAATGTGTGGAAGAATTGGCTCTCTTTAAGGAGTTTACTCGGGTTGTTTTGTTTTTTTTATTTTCGATCGTTATTCAGCGAGAGTATGTGTATATCTGATAAAGTGTGATCGAACGGGCAATGGGCAAATTTATGATATAACGAAGTGAGGTTAGAAAGACCCGAGTTCCGTTTGAGGGGGCTGGTTCTCCATCGAATTCTCGCGTGGATCAAGAGTTTCGAGATATCTTTAAGCTTTTTGACCGGGACTCTTTATCTATGCCGAAGAGACGAAGGAGCGTCGCATCGCGGAATGAATTGTTTCCCCTGAATCTTGTAAATAGAGGGTCACTCGTTATCCAGCGGACCTCCACCCTTTCTGTTTGCGCTCTCTTCTTCGCGGTCGTCGGTGCAACCCGAGGACCGCCTTCGTCGTTGTCGTTGTCATTGTCGTTGTCGTTAGTGTCACTCGGCTTGTCATCCTTAATGTTCCCGTTCATCTTCGTCCCTCTCGCTTCCGGTTTCCGGCTTTTATCGGCGCTTTCCATGGATAATCCGTAGCGGCTACGTTTAGACTTGTGCACGGCTTTGTCGCAGTTTTCCAAAGCGCTGTGAAACTCGTTCGTTAATGTGTCGGGATTCGCACCTGCGTTCGTAGATACGCTTTCGTCAAACCTGTTTCGAATTACCATTTATGCGTGATATCGATCCATCTCGAGTTTCTACGTTCGCAATTGTAGCCACGTGCCCTCTGTCGAAGCCCATTGCCGCTCATGTCGACTGTGTGAACTTGAAATCCAGTTTGAGGCACAAACAAAATTAACAGGCTTATTGGAATGTTTCTGTGATGTAGACGTTTGTGTCACGTTGAGTTTTCTTTGTCACATTTTTTTGTTACAAAAACCAGAGCTGTTCAAATAGACAAAAAAATTCCGAAATCGTGGAAATTTGGATTTTTCGACTCTAATGGCTTCTCTTACGTTAGGGAAATTCAGAGCCTCCCAGAACCTCAAAAACGTAAAAATGTTAATTTTCAAGATTTTATTTTCCACACTTTACGCTTCTCACGGTGGCTTGCATTAATTTGCGCAAGTAAATCGCGGGGAGTGCTTATGCTCAGAATTTTTTGGGACCGATAGAAGTAGTCCTTGGCAGTGAACATAATTAAAGTTCTTAAAAACGTTAAAATCTTCTTCTTAACTATTTTTATGATTTTTTTTTTCCGTGGCTCAAGGTTCCGGCAGGAGCTTGAGTTAATTTTTGGGCGTACCCTGGGGATAGTACTTGAATTCAGAATTTTTTAAACCGATAGGGGTTGGCCTTGATAGCTAGGAAAATTCAGAGTCTCCCAGAACCTCAAAAACGTTAAAATGTTCATTTTCAAGATTTTATTTTCCACACTTTACGCTTCTCGCGGTGGCTTGCATTAATTTGCGCAAGTAAATCGCGGGGAGTACTTATGCTCAGAATTTGTTGGGACCGATAGAAATAGTCCTTTGCAGTGAATAAAATTAAAGTCTTTAAAACCGTTAAAATCTTCTTCTTAACTATTTCTATGATTTTTTTTCCGTGCCTCAAGGTTCCGGCAGGAGCTTGAGTTAATTTTTGGGCGTACCCTGGGGATAGTACTTGAACTCAGAATTTTTTTAAACCGATAGGGGTTGGCCTTGACAGCTAGGAAAATTCAGAGTCTCCCAGAACCTCAAAACCTTAAAATGGTCATTTTCGGAATTTGTTTTTTTTAACAGCTCTGGTTTTTGTAAAGAAAACGGCACAAACAAAACTCAACATGGCACAAACGTCTACATCACAGAAACATTCCAATAAGCCTGTTAATTTTGTTTGTGTGTCAAACTGGATTCTAGGTTCACGCGGCCGCCCATGTCTGAATTTGTCAAGAAATTGCATTTGCATTAAACTCACCTATACTAAATTAACGCAACGAAAGTATACATCAAGTATCAAAACACTCAGCTCATTTTTTGCCGTTACTTCGAAACCTCCATGGTCAAATCGCGTATTCATTGTTCTTCGTTTCTTTTCAATTTAATATCCATGGGGCGGAAGGATCGATTATTAATTAATATACCCAGCATAATGGTGATTGAATTCGGCACTTGTATCGCATGTTCTCTAAGTCACTGCTAGGAAAAGGGTCGAAAGTGCACGTACGAGGACAGGAATAATAATGGATACCTGTAATTTCCTTTTTGCAGCCTTTCGAGCATCATCGATCCTTGCATGCGATTAAGCCGTATATGACTCAGTAAGTATAGTAGAGCGGACTCTGGGTCTTGTTCCTTCATGTAAAATATTAACCGATCTTTTCCAAAGGGCCCTGAAGGAGTCTGGATACGAGAGCGATTCGACCCTCGTGTTTCGTCGTCGGGACGATGTAAGTCCATTAAGCCCTCTGGAACAGAGATTGGCTTACAAGACTGTACAGAAAGGTGGCGACGTACCTCTTCACGGACTCCGCAAACCAGCCCCAGAGCGACCGAAAGGTGAGAAAAAGAGACTTTTTTCGTCCATCCCTGCCATTCGACGTGGAATCGGTGCATTCGCAATATCAAGAAACGAAGTCATTCGCCCAATAAAAAAAAAATACATATTAACTACAAATTTGTACGAGTTCCTCCGAAGCTGCAGAATTTCCATCGAATTCATGATAATGCGAATTGCCCTTGAAACGTTACATCGTTTCTCCTCGCGAGAATTTCACTCTCTCTTGACGCTCTCTTCAACTTCTTCCTGGGATAATTGTTTCGATCTCTTGTAATAATTACATTAAGCCGTATTAACCCGGTGCTACAGTTCAAAGGTTGGTATTCGTTAATGCTTCCGCATGCTCCTAAGTCCCTAGGTAGATTGGACGTAGAATTACATCGTCGAGGTACAGAATTTCATTCGCTTTCGGTACAATACATGACATAGCTGTACCTCGAGGATCTTAGACAAGTAACTCGCGAGCATGCACTTACTCGCACCTAGAAATCGTATCCAGCACCGTGCCAGATTTTTATTTCGCCCGATTTGGAGGATTTTTTAAGCTTACTAAGTCTCTTCACGCGAGTCCTCGCCTCGCCGTTTAGGGAGCACCCTAGGCACCCTTTTTTATTCATTCGTTTCCGTATATTTAAAATTCACATTTGCTATCTCGGCCTCTCGATCTATCGATATCGGTTGACGCGTTCGAGCTCTCTCACCTCCGCTCTAACGAAGCACCACGAAGAGGACCTTCCTCGTCTTCGGCATCGCCGATAGCCACGAAACTCGCCTGGCTTGCCTTGGTGGAAGGGTTTCAGCTCGCCAGCCTGAAGCAGCTTCTCGATGTCAAAGAAGTCGTTATAATATGTCACGACGAGCGAACACAAGAGATGAATGCCAAAGCAATGCCACGTCTCACCTTGGTGCGAGGGTTTCCATCTGCCGGCCTCGAACAGCATCTACTTTTCGTTCAGAGGCGACCTCGTCTTCGGAGTGAACCGAGTGAACGCAAACGAGCGGATTGCACTGTTTTCCTTGGTGCCAGGTGGCACTGAAATTGGACTACACTGTAAAAAATTCGGTGTTAAGCTGTGTTAAAATCCGACACCGATCCATGTCCCGTGATTCGTCCACTGACGGTGTCGGAGAACGAAGTCCTTGAACAGGCATTGTTTCAAAACGGTATAAGTACCGAAAGAGAACCGATTTAACACCTTCCGATTTTTTACCGTGTACGCGAGGACCTTGTGCCAGAAAGCGAAAGAACTCTTCTCCACAGACGACTCGGAGATCGAGTACTTCCCTATCTCGCCGACCCTGACGAGGATCCGCGTGCACCGCAAGCTCGCCCAGAAGTCACCCCACCAAAAGTCTAAGTCCTCCACGAGTTCCTCGGAAATGGTTTTCGGGAGGTATAAAAAAACCACGCCTGCCGTGGCCACCACGCTGCTGCAGACAAACTCGAAGACGGACAGCCGGACCTTGCCGGGAAAATCGTACTCCTCTTCGAGGATAACTTCCCCACCTCCTGGGAGACCTCCTTCGAGGGTGGACTCCCCCCAGAACAGGCCACCATCGCCCCCTAGAAGAAGATCATCTCGCAACAATTCGACGTTGAGGTTATATTCCAAAACAAAGGTCTCCAACGTTACGAGCCACAGCGCGAATCCTAGACACGAGCAGTGTTTCTCTGCGGACAACGTGTCCAACATCAGGTTCCTGAGAGACAGACTATCCTGCAAGCTGGAAAAGCACCGGAAGGAGAGAGAAGACGCCCACAGGGTCAGGATGACCAGGACCTCGTCGACCAGTCCAGTGGTTGCGAGGACCAAAGTGTCTACCGAGATCCAGAGCGGAAAATCGGAGCCGTGTCTAGTCAGAAACGTCTCTTCGGAGTCTTCGAGTAGAACAGGTGTTGAGAAGGTCAGGACCAGAGTGTCGACCTCGACCAGTCCAGCGTCTAGGACGTCGCGGGACTCCGGAACGAAGGTCGAAGGTAGAAGGTGCCCTGATGAGAGGTCTGGAAAAAGAGTGCCCTCGAAGAGCCCTATGTCCATCAGCTCTAGAGAGTCCACCATAGATCGGCTGACCTCCCCGGAGAGAACCTGCAGCCATGGGAGCTCTTCAAGGATATCGACCGTTGCGCAGGCAAAAATGGCTTCCAAGTGCAGGAAGATCACGAAGAAGGAACAGGAGGAAACTTGCAAGAGACTGAGTCGTTCGCCAGAGCTAATCTCGCCTACGGAGGTGCAGAAGATCGTCCAGAAGCAGAAGGACTCCAAGGATGCCTCGACGAGGACGCTGCCTTCGGGCACGGTGCTGAAGAGCTCGACGACTTTGTACTCCTCGTCACTGAATAGCAAGCACAAGAACCCTGAAGACAAGTCCCTGAAAGTCACCGTGGCGATCACGTCAAAGGGAAGGGAATTTCTAAGGCGAAACACCGAGACCACGAGCACGAATCCTAGCTCCAGGACCTCTTCGGCAACGACATCACCGTTGGTCAGCAGGAAGGCGACGACTCTCCTGCAACCCACGGAGTCGACTAAATTAAGGGCGATTACGAGACAATCGGATATGGAGAAGATGAAGAGCGAGACGCTTAAGGTCCTCCCTCCTCCGAGTTTAGCGGATAATACGAGCGACCTTAATCGGAAGAAGAGATCGAAAGAAAGGTTGCAAACTATAGTGAAGTCTGCGATCAAGAAGCCGGAGACCATCACGATAGACCCCGAAGACAAGGACCAGAGGACGGAGAAGAAGAAGAAGAAGGAGAAGAACAGCGAGACCTCGAAAAGTAAGAAAATATCAAACGGCAAGAAGAGCGACAGCGAGAAGAAACAGCGAAAAAGTAAAAATCCTTCCGATCGCGAGGACATATCGAAGAGGTGCCACATTGGAAAGAAAAAGGTGGAGGTGACCGCCGACGAGATCACCAGACACGGGGAAGTGATGAAGTCGAATACGTTTTTCCAAAATCTGTTCCTCAGGAACGTGTCACCTACGCCATCGCAGAGCAGCGTCGTTAGGAAAAACTCGGTTTTGGAGAGAGTAAAAATTTTCCAGGAAGGCAGGAGTGACAGATTCCGGTCGGAGCCATCGCTCAGGTCGATCAACATTTATCTGTCCCACAAAAGACCCGTTTCAAACTCGAAGTTCAAGAATTGGGAGCACGAAAGCTCCTCTTCAAGGTCCTCCAGCCCGTACGGAGTTTGTTGGCCTGGCAGGTCGGTTTTCAAAAAGATCAGCAAATTCGAAAGTCTCCTCAGCGTGGACGAATATCCGCCCGATTACAGGTCAACGTCTTCTCTTCGAAGTAGAAGTCCAGATTTCTCCCGCGAGGTCTTGAAGGGAAGAAGCTCCAGCGAACCGCCTCTGAGAATGTTACCCGAGGACAAAGAAAAAAGTCCCAAAGCGTCCAGAACGAGTTCTCCGTCTCCGGCAAGGTCCGATATACCCCAACGGGTCCAATCATTAAAAACCCCAGAAAGTCTAGGGACATTTATCCTGAAGAAGGCCAGAGCCAGAAGTGTAGGCGAAGCTGACCAAAGACCCATATCACCGAAACAGAGATTCGGCTCCAGCTTATCACTGACAAGGAGCACGAGTTCCCTGATGTCCTCCCAGGTAGATCGCGAAGACAGCCATCAGTACGTCTTGGAGATGTTGCACTACAGAAGGAAGTCGAAGAGATATCGCGAGCTTCACGACTTCTACGCAAGTCTCGAAAGGATGGGCGAGTTGGAAAGGACCACGTCAACTGGGGATCTGCGACCAAGGCTGAGGAACGAGGAGATCATCGACTACGACAGATGGAAGGAGGTCAGGACCAAGGAGCGAGCAGAAAGGGAGCTGAAGATACTTTACGATAAACTGCAGGCAGCCCAGAAAGAAAAGGACTTCCTGTTCAGGCCAAAGGACGTCGAGAGGTACCGCTGGCGAGGAGACTCCGGGCTCAGGTGTAAGGAAAAATCGGTGGAAAACATCAGGGAGCACTTCAAGAAGCTGGAAAACGAAGAGAGCGAGCTAGAGTCTTCACGAAGGCGCGAGATCTCGTCTAAAAAGGACGTCTACAAACCTCTATGGAGAGGCAGCACCGTGATGAACGTAGCGAACACGATTATCAGAAAAGCTGCAGAGTCCCACGCGGAGTCGGATAGATCGGTTCTCCATCCATCCCTGCAAAGAAGCCTTGGTGGTAGCAAGAAATTCTGGAGCAGCCTCTCCGTGGAGCAAGTGAACACCCTGAAGAACCAACTAAACGAGATCTACGGCAGCGAAAATGGTAAATCGAAAACGTCGATCTCAAAGGCGGATTACGAGATAGTAGTACCACCAAAAGAAGGTGGGATCCTTACGATTCCTCAAGAAGAAGTCAAGGGTCTTCACGTACGTTGTCATTCCTTGCTGGGCTCGGATAATCGTGACGGAGGAACGAAACAGGATCCTGGGTCCGGCGATCGACTCGAGCCTACCTTGAAGAGGAGCAACTCGATCGGTCGTGGAAGGACTCTGGAGAGGTCTCAATCGGATCGAGTGGTACCGCCGATGAGCGAGCTGGAGAAGAAGAGATTGTCCTTGACCCTGAGCCAAGAGATCCTGGACAAGGTTTCCAAGAGAAAACCTTCGGGTTCCTTGCAGCCTCGTGAAACTCGTGGAGCCTTCGCGGCAGCATTGGCAATCCCGAAGGGCTCGACCTCCGCCAGGAGCACATCTCCAAGAACTTGCTACTCCCTGGAGATGTCGGAAGACGGTGCAACAAAATCCAAAGAGAAAAATGATTTTTTGCTGGTGCTAGCGCCAGATAGCGAGGGTACCGCAGGCAAGAAGAGAGTGGAAAACGTCCTCGAAGAGTGGTCCAAGAAGTCAGCTCCTACCTCTTCGGCACCAACCGAAGACGGTACGTCGAAGACGTCTCGACCCACCTCTGGGAGCGAAGTCGAAAGCAACACGGAGAGCTCCGACGCGTCCGTGAGGACCGTCATCCACCAGACGCATCCAGAAGAGGTGCCCCGCAAGGTGGATTTCTTCGAGCACGTGGGCGAAGAGAGAAACGAGCCAAGAAAGCCTCCCAAATACGTCGGCCACCCCCACCGCCTCTCCTCGTCGCAGAGTTTCGCAGACCTGAAGGAGCTCTTCGGAGAACGCGAGTCCGCGAAGTACGGCACGATCCCACTCTTCAGGTCCAGAGCTCGGTCCACGTCGCCCGGAAGTCCGCCGACCTCTCCCGGAAGTCACCAGTGTGCACGCTTGCGTGACACCTACGAACGCACCCGTAGCGTCAGCCCACGAACAGTGTCTACGTCTTCCTGCAGTCTGGACAGCATATGGCAGAGAAGCTCTTCCCCGGACCCTGAAAAGTACTGGAGAGCGTACCTGAAGCTGGTGAAGAGCGGCGCCGTGAAGCGGCTGAGAGCGAAATTCGAGAGCCTCGAAGAACTGCACCAAGACCGGAACCGTGTGGTCCAGATCCCGAAGAGGTTCCAGAGCGACCCGGAGCTCACCAGGAACCTGTTGAAGAGAGGCAATCTAGGGAACCAGTGCACCAAGGCAGTGGTGAAGATCCACGAGTGCAGCGACGTGAATTGGCTGAGAAGGAAGTACGAGCCCATCCGAGGGAGGACCAGGAAGAGAGGGACCTCGCCCATACCGAAGGTCCCACTGAGGCTGGAAGACCTGGGCATGCCTCGCATCAACGTGATCAGCAAGCTGGCCGAGCTGAAGGACTCCGTAAGAGCGTCCTCTTCGGCGTCCTCTTCGTCTTTTATGCGCGAGGCCGAAACCAGGGAACTTCGGGCCAGGAGGCCGGTTGGCAAAGTCCGTAAGAGATTCGAGCGGGACCAGGAGCGAGGTGACTCAGGTGAGGTCTTCTCTTCGTCGCCGAGCCTGCACGAGCTTCGGGATATAGCACCGTATTTGGCCGGTCGGTGGGTAGCACACAAGTATCCTAGACGCCACGACAACGCGCGTTCCCTGTCATCGCCCGACTTGAGCCTGGAGGAAGGGAGCGGCAAAGGTCCTGAAGGTCCTGGAGGTGGAGGGGTAGTCCCGCCGCGCCGGCATCGAAGCCCACGCCCGGGATCGGAGAAGCCCAGGGCCTCTTCGGCGTCTCCGGTGGGACCCAGAAGACCCACGTCCATCCTGAAACACCCGAACGAGCGCAAGGACCCCTTCGCCGACCAACATTTCGATCCCAGCAAACACCGGCCGAGGTACAGGTACCAACCTCCGCCACCCTCACCTCCGGCAGCCCGCCGAAACTTCAGACCCTGGTGGCCTCCCCTTCCCACCTACACCGCCAGGCCCACCGTCACCTTCGAAGGTCCGGACCACTTGATGTCATGGTTCTCTGAGATTTCTCAACCAGGGGGCGCGCTGCCTTTGGTCCGCTCCAAGGAGACCACGGTCTCCGATGGTCGGCCTCCTTGGACCCCAGATGCTGCGCGCTGCTCTCGCACCTCACCCTTATCGATAGATTAGAGAGAGCACCGCCTTTAGACACCTTGGGAAGGTGGAACCACGATACGGTCAAGGTAGAGCCGCATGCTTGGCGTAGGTGGTGCACTCCTGAGGATTAGCGAGCGACCCGAAGTTGGGGTGATCAACGCGCCCTATCCGGTAGATCTCTTTCTCCTCCTACTCGTTCTCAATGAGAATTGTGATGGACACTATCAACGATGACCAGCAAGCCATCAATTGTACATAATAATGTGGAGGCCAGGGCGAACGAATCAGGGAAAGGATTTATCGGAATATTCTTAGAGTGGGATAGTCTTCAGGGTCGAAGAATGGAGGTTTTTGTTGGTTACGATCTTGGGTTGGATGCTGAAATTGCAGGGCATTCTCGACAGGCTCACAGATTACGGGTTCTGTCATTGCGATCGCATGTCGGGATTGAGTGCACAATCGGAGCAAAAGGGTCGAATAACTTTGAAAAGTGGCGCGTCCGGTGTCCGAGGGAGTGCAGTTAGGGGGTATCCTGGGGTTGTGGTGTGTTTAACTCGCGCCTAACTTTTAACCAGAGTAGAGTTAACCGGCACACTAAGAGTGTCGTCGATAGTTGCACATGTCTATTTTCCTTTTTTCATTTTTTTGTTTCGCCGGAATTTAGAGTACTCGAACGCACCGCCGCCACCGCCGAAAGCTCCACACTACAGAGGCGACCGCCAAGGTAATGCTCTCAGCTGATTGTTAATCCTCCGATGTCATCTCTCTGTCAATGTTGTGTCGAGTAACCCTGTCTTTCGAAGTGCTGAGATGTCACTTAACACGAGGCACCGCGGTTAATCCCGAAATCCTTTTTGGAATTATTCCCAAAAAGGATCTGGCTATCTGCACGAGACGTCTGCACGCGTGTCTACAAACAATGAAAATTTAAATAATATATTAATTTTATCTAGTAATACCTAGGTTATCAGTGAATCGACTAGGTATGAATTTGATGGTTTTCATAAGAAAGATTTTAAAGTTTGGAATCTTCTTTCAATGTCAGGTGTAGATAGAACAGATGAGCATGATTCGTTTGCATCGTGTACGTATGTTAAATATCTAGTTAATTAATTTGTACTTGGCATGTACGATGCACGAATTAAGTTACATCAACCGAATGCACCGGTTTTGATATGCACGTCTCGAATGCATTGTCGCTATCCTCGAAGGCCCTAAACATTGTGTTCGCTATATGACAAGGTAATTGTTCTGCGTTTCTAACCATAATTTTGTATAAACATAGCTTCATGTGTCAGGTGTCGCTCTACAACTAAATAACACCTATAATAATGTCCTTCACTTTGAGTAATACATATTCTCGCCAGTTAAATATGTTGTCAGAAATCACGTTCTTAACTAAACAATGTTTCTCCTGTTTCAATGTTCTCATTAAATTCTGCAACTATATGCCATTACGGCAACGAAATGCCCTACATAAAAACTCTTTTACTCGTATTTTTATAGAATAAATCTTATCACGATTACAATAATTTCCGACTACCCGGAATATTGCATTACATGAAGTTGTATGCACTTATTGAAGTTAAATACGTTATCAGAAATCACGTTCTTACCTAAACAATGTTTCCCCTGTTTCAATGTTCTCATTAAATTCTGCAACTATATGCCATTACGGCAACGAAATGCACTATATAAAAACTCTTTTACTCGTATTTTTATAGAATAAATCTTATCACGATTACAATAATTTCCGACTACCCGGAACATTGCATTGCACGGAGTTGTATGCACTTATTGAAGGGAATTTACGGTGCATTGACATCGGCTTCGAAATCGACGTGCGACGCGTCGTTCGTAGAAACAGGCCTGCAAGAATCTAGTCAATATAGTCCGCGATTAAAATTCATAACTTCGTTTCAATTTCAATCAGCATCGTCTGGTCGACGGAGTTGAATCATGGCCGACACGTTGCGTGGATTTTCATTGAGGTCAAATGACGATTGCCCGAGAGGTCAGCCGATGCACGTCGGTGCGCCCTGGATAACGAGATCACAGGTTTCAAATTTACCGAAACGACATCGACATGAAACGAAAGACTTTAAACAATTCCAGGATTAAATGACAGGGGACAATTTAGGGTCCTTGAAAACGCAGTTTGGATCGGTAGGTCCGCGCAATTGAGGGCTCACTTAATCTCTTACGCTACGGATGTAGGACTCTTCAGGAAACCCCTAATAACAGCTGCGATCGTAACACGATCTTGCGATTTGTCGGAAATAAACGTGACTCCTCCGGTGTTACCATCGGGTGTGGATCGGCGATCTGCAACCGAGTGCCAAGTGCTTTAATTACTCCCGAAGGCCTTCGAGATGTGCCAGGGTCTGTTTACCGGAGGACGAGAATGTCGCTCCTTCTTCTGGCCCAGCTCCGAAAACCTTGGTTGAAAATATTCTTCCTCGTTTTTGGGTAACTTCTCCCTGATGGTCGAGGTCGAGGTCCGTCTCGTTAAGGTTTGGGATGAAGGGTCTCATACCGTAGAGGAAAAGAAGACCGCCGATTTAATTCCCGGGAGATCTCGGAGAGAGGTACCAACGCCTATTCGTGATCTCCTCGGCCGATGGTACCAGCTCGAAGTATCAGCACCTGCACCTGATTCCGTCGATCGGTAACTTAAGTTTCCCAACGCGTTAGTGCCACGCAAGCTCTAAAATAAGCGATCCCATGACCAGGCGACCTCGACCTCTCCCGAGTCTTGATTTTCCACAACCTCCGAGCCTCGTAGAGACGATTGACGCTTTCCGCTCCCAGTCGACGGGGTAATATCTGCCTCCTGGAGGTCGAGGTCCGTCTCGTTAAGGTTTGGGATGAAGGGTCTCAAACCGTAGAGGAAAAGAAGTCAGTCTGATAAGACCTCTGGTAAAAGATCCACAAACGAGCGTCTCGATAACGCGGAAAGAGCGGTGAGCTACACACCCGTCCAATGAACATGCTTTATCTAATCTACCGTGATAATTGACGTGGTCTTGGTTGTTAACTCGGTTGTTAACTCTACGCTCGAAGAAGAGTGCCTCAGTTCACGAGGGGCGTCGAAAAAGCGTGGGCGAACTTTGTCGATTTTTATCACAAACATATTTTCAATGACATTGGTGAATTTTATAAATTTAACACACGGTTAGATGTAAGGCAACCCGTGGGTAGGAAGCGCAAAACTTGATACCTTCGATGCACAACTAATAAATGAAATTGAAAAAGAACGATCATGCCGAAGAAGTGAACTCAGTGAATTATGAATTTCAATATATATTTCAATTTTATTGCGAGGAACTAGGGGAATTGTGAATTTAAATGTGGAGTAGGTGAAGAAACGTCGTAAATTGTTGAAATAAAAAATTCGGTATGTGGCGCGTTTAAAAAAATTCAGTGAGCAATGATTCGAAGTGGTTCCGGTGACGACATGCGCTCCAAGAGGGAAGGACCCTCGCAATTATTCGTCACACATTGTCCTCTCGGAATCTTATCACAACAATTGACGAATCCGTTCCGACGACTACCTCCACCGCCTGAAATCGAGTGACGTCGAAAGTTGCGACATTGCTTCGACGTAGTCCGAACTTCGCCATTCTTGCACGACGTGTGGAGGAGCGTCGCGACTTTGTAGACGAGGAGGCGAAAGTGCGTGAATAAAAGATAGAAAAGTGGAAAACGTCATTTAGGTCAAATTCATATTCCGGGTTCTCGAGTCCCCCGACGTGGCAGTGTTCTGAAGAAATTTAAATAAATGTCAAAGAATTTTTGAAACGTAAACAGTGACAAATGGAAGCGCCAAAATTTGGGAATTAATTTGCAAGATGGTAGATTAAAATTTAAACTGATATAACAGTGAAATAATTTTCCGGCGTCATCGAGGACCTTTAAATCTCGGAAAATGAGCGAGGAATTTTAACTAGTGATTACGTGGAGGAATTGTTACGTGTTCATAAGTTATCAATCGTGCCTTGGAACGAAGGTCAATTGATAGCACCGAACCAAACGATCGGTGAACGTCGATATGGTATTGTTCCCCGAGGTTGGGCTAAAGTATTTGAGGTCTCAAGAAAAATTACTCGTTACGTCTGTAATCGCCGGAACGGTCGACTTATGCAAACCTGTGACGTGAAACAAAAACGCCACAACTGGTAATAATTCATGAAATGTATAAATCAGGCGTTTACTCGCCTTTGAAAAATACTTTGGATATTTTTTATTTCGTCTAAAAATTGTACCGACTTAAAGCCACATTTTCTGGCCTCCAAAAAATCGTTGATAATTAAGATTTTATATGCTCCTTATTTTCCGTCACTAGAAAACGTTGTCGATTAATTTCAATTTTCCATGCCATTGTTTAATGTTGACAATTTCATATTATAAGGATATTTTTGATTTCGTCTAAAAATTGTACCGACTTAAAGACACATTTTCTGGCTTTCACAAAATCGTTGATAATTAAGGTTTCATATGCTCATTATTTTCCGTCACTCTAGAAAACGTTGTCGATTAATTTCAGTTTTCCATACCATTGTTTAATGTCGACGATTTAATGTTTCGCAAACGAGAATGCGACGACACACGTCGGTGGTTTCATCATCCGCGATATTTTTAACGATTAATTTGCATTAAAGATGCCTCCTCGATGGCTGCGTTGTTGTCGAGTAACATTGATCGAAATAAAAGTCCGATGATTCCATCAGCGAAATGACATCCGATGACTGCATCATGATCTTGTCTCGGTCGTTATGCGGTCAGGGTGAGACGTTACATACATTAAGGAAAGGAGAAATTAAGTGATTAGCATTAAAGAATTAGTAACGTGGCATTTATTTCGTGGAAACTGTACCAAGTCGCACGACTAACGGAACAGCTAATTAGGGATTTGAATTGAATGCATTAACGGGGTGTGAGAGTGCAAGTAACATCATTCTCAGGTGTTAAAGATGTTCCGGTTTATATGAAAAAAAAAGTATTATAACAGAGAGACTCGTAACTGGCACTTGGAATACATTTCTTCCCGTGGCTGTCAATAAATCAGGGAATCGGGACAAGATTAGCTAGATCCACTTTTAAAAAAGACCTCAAAAATTCAGAACCTCGGCCAAGGCCAGAGGCTTTTTTTAGAAAGCGAGATTTAAGTCTATTTTAAAATGCATTCCGGAAGCCCTGAAATAAATAAGAATTTTCCAAGCGCTTTGTTCAATTTCTTTTCTCAATAGTTTCTGCTTCCGATTAACTCCCGAACTGGTCATTAATTATCGCAATGATGGCTCGGTACGAGTGAACATGGCGTAACAGGAAAAACGCGGTAGAGCAATCGCAAGTATTATTAACGAAGCCAGCCGAGCGAGATTAACGAGTGATTGCTCAAGGAGAGTTCTTCCTCTCGTTTTCCCTGGCGTGTTAGGCCGCGATTAATGTCTAGTTTTCAGCAGTTCGATTCCCTAATTTCACCAACAGATCAATCCCGATTACATTTTTGACCTACTCAAACGAGAATTCAATTCAGCGCTGAAAACGAATCGAGGGAAATAATCAGAGTGATAAGATTTCGCAGGATTTTCACATCTACCACCAACATACAAAAAGAATGACAAGAGAAAATATCGCTAATTTTCTCTGCTTTTTAATTCGCCGATATTTTTCGTCCCCTGGTACGTTCTCACTTTTTATTCAGTCCTTGGTTCGAGGGCCTTCCGGTATCTTTTTTAATAAAAATTCACATCTACAATTCTCGGCTGCAATTGTCCTCGTAACACTACTCGCGGTTAAGTACGTGATCAGCTGTCCGAATGACCATCTTCTTCATTTCTCCTCCCGTCATAAGGTATTACGGTATCCTGTTCTTGTCCTGGCGCGGGTATACACCCGACAGGATATGGACGCACAATGCATACATGCAACGCATTCGTAAAACCCGTAAATACATTCACCCACCCCAAGGTAGGTTAGGGATTACCAATACCCGTGAAACTCTGCTCATTAACGCCAGAAATAAGTAATTCGATCCCTAGACACGAAGTCTCCCCTCACCTCCATTAGCATCGAGAGGTTAAACGACCCTCCAGCGATAAGAATCACTGATTGCAGTCAATACTCGGTCGAGTCACCCAAGTACTCTCTCTTAAATTTCCCTCAATTTTCCAAGTGCCCAAAAGTCGGAAGACCGCTAAACAAAAATTACACAGTATTAAGAAACTCAGACCTAGTCATTATCTGCGATGTTCACCCTGGCGTGTCAAATTGGACAATGAATATCGTCAGAATATCCTTAATAATTCTTTTCCATTTCAATTAATCAACCCCTACAGTCTATAGATAGTCGAATATAATTTTTAAAAATCCGGTAGAATTCGTTCCAGCGTTCTCCAGGCCTTTTAGGGTCCGCTTTATTCTCTCAAGGCTAAGCGTTGATCTTCAAAATTTCTTTCCTCGATTTTTACTGGAAAATCGATCACTCTCGAATTAGCTAGTCCATTCGGTTAGCGGTTCATGGAGGGCCTTCTTCAGGTTAGGTTTGCCGACAATTCACAGCGGTTCCGTCCGGTCGGATAAGCGATCTTCGGCGTTCAGAGAGCGGAACGCTCGAGACCGGATGAGAACCTCCATTTGCCGTGAATGAGTCGGGCGAAGTTCGACGCAAGCGATGCAAGCGGAGTCGCGAACTCGCGTTGCATTGTCTTAGGGCCCATGGATCCCCCTGGTCCCCTTGGTCCCTCTGGCCCCCCCGGTCCCCTTGGTCCCCCTGGTCCCCCTGGTCCCCCTGGTCCCTCTGGTCCCCTTGGTCCCGCTGGTCCCTCTGGTCCCCTTGGTCCCCTTGGTCCCCCTAGTCTGCCTGATCCCCCTGGTCCCCCTGGTCCCCCTGGCCTCCCTGGTCCCCTGGGCCCCTAAAGGCAGGCCCACGCGACGCTTCTCCAATCCATTTTAATTTACCTTTCGTTCATTGAAATGGCATTGAACTCGACTTGAACCTACGCAATGCTACGCACGCCGCGCGTAACGAAAACATGCGGAATGGTTAAATAACGAAGTCTTTGATGACGTTAAAAAATAACACTTCTCTTTTTTTTTTTTAATAAAATGAAATTATTCTTTTCTTGTAAAAAAATAACGACACGTAGTATAACATTTCTTATGTTTGCGTTGTTGTTGACTTGGGAATAATACCTATGGATTTATAAGCCATGTTTTTCGATTTATTCAATTAGCAACCGTGATGGGTACGGGTGTCTTGAGGAGATTATCGTTGAAAGAATGCATGGGTACCCTGATAAGAATGCCCGTGTACATTGACATACTCAATCGGTTATTCTGATGCCACAATAAATTGCAATAAAATTACATTGTCTCGGTAATATTACATTCAGGGTCTGAGTTAATGAAGATTATAACGTAATGTCGGATTTAATCCAAGTATAAATAAGCTAACACGGAAGGCATACCGTGTTACGGGTATTTATACATTTTCTAACTTGTAGTTCTTCCGCTTTGCATTTTTCTACGTGAAGCTTCACTTATGTGTGTAAATTTATATGGAGCTTTGTCAGGGTATATTGGGTGGAATATTAATGAAAATTCTCACAAGTCGGTCGCGTGGCGTAGCGTAACGACGTAAGGCGTCACGTAGGCCTAGCGGGTACCAACCTTAAGTAAGTTAGTCCCCGAGAGACTCCTGAGGCCCTGGGACCCCCAGGCCCCGGAGCCTCAGGAAGGGGGCCCAGTCTTGCTCGGGCCATTGGAATAAGAGGCGTCCCGAGAAGAGCCGAGGCTCTTCATGGCAAACAAACGTGACTTCCGAGTCCCTCGGGGACTCTTCCGGGTGTGTTCGATGATTGTCTTGGATTTCGCGGAGCCCGCTCGGGTTTATCGACTCTATCGAACACCTGGTGAATCCTTCCGGATTTACTTCCAGGATAACTTTACGAGAAGTGCCACCAATAACAGATCAAAAGTCTCCAAAGTATAATTCGCTCGATATCTGAGTTACATTTTGTTCGTCGATTACTTCGAGACTTCAAATACTGTAAAAGAGGTGAAACCGATAACAAATGAAAAATATCCAAAGTTTATTTCACTCGATTTCTGACTTATATTTTGTTCGTCGATTACTTCGAGACTTCAAATACTTTAAAAGAAGTGCCACCAATAATAGATCAAAAGTCTCCAAAATATAATTCACTCGATATCTAAGTTACATTTTGTTCGTCGATTACTTCGAGACTTCCAGTACTTTAAAAGAAGTGAAACCGATAACAAATGAAAAATATCCAAAGTTTATTTCACTCGATATCTGAATTATATTTTGTTCGTCGTTTACTTCGAGACTTCAAATACTTTAAAAGAAGTGCCACCAATAATAGATCAAAAGTCTCCAAAGTATAATTCACTCGATATCTAAGTTACATTTTGTTCGTCGATTACTTCGAGACTTCCAATACTTTAAAAGAGGTGAAACCGATAACAAATGAAAAATATCCAAACTATAATTCACGCGATGTTAAGGCACTTAATATTTAAATGACATTTCGTTCATCGATTCATTCAAGACTTGAAATACTTAAGAGGATATGAAAGGCGTTAAAAAATTTAATCGACGTCGATAAAAGTAAAATTCATCTATACCCTTTTTGGGGGGATTGCCGTTTTGAATACTCAAGTGGGAACATAAACTGGTGCGTCCTATTACCGACATTTATATTTATGTTGAAGTCTTTTACTGTCTATGTTCAGAATTATACGAACCATATGTCATTTCGGTAAAGTAATGACAAAAAGATCGATGCACAGCTGTCGAAATCCTATGAATTCGTGATCGTTTATATTTTGACGAACCATCGTCGCCATCTGTGACGTTTAAATGCAACTCAATTTTTCCTCTAAATGCACGTGTTAACCGCAGGACAAGCCAGCAATTGTTGGCGAAAGTATTTACCGCATTTTCCCATCTGACTCTATAATATTCCATTTCTACGGTATTCTAAATTGTCCGAGCTAGATCCTGAAATTCTTCATTTTCGATTCTAACCCTCCAGGAAGCGTAAAACCTCGAAAACGTGCCCGGACCCCGCCATGTTGGTTCCAGTCCATGATAAGTAAATAAATTTTTTATGAAAAATGAAATTTCATGAGTTACGGGACCTACTTTAGGGCCTCCATATCCACGTGGTAAAATTTAAAACGAATCGATACACCCAATTCGGAGAATACTTTCCCCAACGATTTGACTTCTTAGATATGTATATAGGCTGATTCTTTCATATCCTCTTAACTCTTTGAAGCACGGTGGTATTAAAAGTGTCCCACCTTTATAATGCGTGTACATGCACGGTGGGACTATTTGAACCCCACCCTAAAACAGCAAACTTAATTGAATGATTATAATATTTTTATCCATTTATATTATGTTATTCCTTCATTAATAAAAATAAACCAACTTTATTCAATTTAAAAAGGAATAAAATTTCTGGGCAACATGGACCTTTTTATTTTCTAAAATTCCGTGCCTCAAAGGGTAAAATGTTTACTCCCGTGCAGGTTCGCGAGTGAAATAGTGGAGTTCGATGCCGATGAGATCTGAGGATTATTTTATGACCGATGAAGGACCGAGTAACAGAGGTGAAGAAGAAATATCGAGTCCATTCCAGAAGAGCTTCCTGAAGACGTCGCAAGTTTTGGCGGACTCTTTAGAGGCTGTGCCAATTATTCCAGAAGCCTGGTAATTACCGAGTTCCATCTACGTCGGCCATGTCGACCACTTCGGCGTTGCCCAGAGTCGAAGATCTGGAGCGGAGTCAACAATGGGCGGCTTTGAGGAGCGACATCGACGACTTCGAGCGGATATACGCGAAGAAAGTCACCAGAACAAGGGCTCCGATGATCGATGCCCCAGAAGAACGTCAAACTCGGCGCCGTTCCATGCCGGAGCAGCAGAGAGTTGACATCGTCTACGGGAAAATGGCCAAAAACCAGAGCGCGACCTCGAAGAGGGCCAACAATTCGACCAACGAAAATTGGGGGTGGAAACCAAGGACGGAATTCGAGAGAAGATACTTCTCCGAAAGTTGCTATCAGCGAATCGAACACGAAAGGAAACCCAGTCCGACGTTTTACGAGAACGAAGGATTCCTTCGAAGCAACGCGTCTGACCATAACGGCATGAGGGATTCCTTCTCACCAGGAATGCTGGAAGACGCGAAAAGAGACCCTCTTCAGGGTTCATGGAACCGTGCCGGAGATGAAAAAGTCCTCCGGTTCTTCGGCAACGAGGGATCGGACTATCAAGGGAGCAGAGAGAGACTGCACGAGATTTTTGAACACAATCGGTTCCTAAGGAGACAATTTTTTGCCAACCTGCCGGCGAACGAGAATAATTCCTCGGAACGATTTAATGTTTCCGGGGGCTCCGTTGACGACTTGACGAAACGAAATCACGATGTCGTTGCCAGACCCTACGGTAATGGTTTTGGTAGTACAGAAACCGTGACCAGCCAGAGCAACCAGTCGGCCTCCAGCATCGGTGAAAAAAGGTCCAGGGCGAATTTCGGGAACACTCCAGAAGTTTTGGAAACTCGAGGACCCTCTGGAAGTCCTCGAAGAAGTCAAAAGTTCACCTCGAGGGATTCGAAAGAAGAACGGGTCGACGAATCCTCGGAGTTCGCTGATAAAATTGTTCCGAAGATCGATTTACGACCCAATGTCCCCAGCGACTGGAAGCGATACCTCGAAGAGGGAGAACGAAAAGTCGAAATCGGTTCCGATGTTCCTAGAAGTACTTGCAATTTTTCCAGGAGTTATAATATCGAAAACACGAATAATCAGGACGACGCGGGAAGTGGTTCGGACGTCGTGGACTTTTCTGTCGAAGTTCCGGAGTTAAAAAATTCCGAGGTCTCTATAAATGAGTCCGTTCTTGATAACGGACAAACCATGGATCTGGTAAAGAAGGCTTCTCATTCAACGCGCGATAATTCTGGTATCGCGAGAGCTTCTATTTATGAAGTCGAGTCAGAGGGATTGAAGTTATTGAACTCCTTGGAGTCTCGAATAGAAGCTCGGAAGGAGACGAGTTCCGAACGTCGTTCAATGGTTCCTTTGAGTTCCAACCCTTCCCATGACGATTACAAAATCTCGCCATGGGGGGACTGTAACAACGATTGTTCTCACGTGACAGCCGTGATGACGAGACCAAAAAGGAACAGGTCTTACGATCTCCGAAAATCATTGCCCAACCTTTCGACTCGCGAGTCGTGTCGCGACTCTTCAGGGTCCATAGCACGACTCTCCGTCAATGGACTTTCAGCCGACGTATCCAGAAGCTGGGAGTTCGACTTGAATGCCCAGGAAAAACCTAAAACTAGTCCATACTTTCCTTTGAGGCCTGCGGAAGCTACCAAGCTCTACAAGTCTCCCAGGTCATCCTCAAGGTTCACCTCTGAAGATACCGATCAGCAGGAGGAGTACGAAGAATACGCCTTGAAGTTTTACAGAGCATGTCTTCAGCTGTCGGCAGACACCGTTACGTCTCAAGAGACCCGGAGAGTCCTTGCTCGTTCGCAGAAAAGGATTCCACCACCTCTGGACCTCTCCAGGGTGTACGAGCTGGCCGACCACGAGGACGAGGACCGGAAGATGCTGAAGAACTACGCGGTGGACGTGTCGGTGTTGCAGAACCACGACGGGCCCCAAACTGCAGTCCTGACGGTGATCAACGACGAGGAGGAAGACGAGGGACCTCGTCAAAGAATCATCGACGAGGCCAAGATCAGCGAGGCGCTCTTCAGGACCAGCGAGGACCTCCTCGAGTTGTCCTCGAAGATGTCGAGGATCTCCGTGAAACAAATGGCGACCAAGGACGAGGCCAGGACCAGGGCTCGTCTGATCGCGGCCAAGGCTCTGAATAAATCCTGCAACGACATTTCCACCGCCGAAGACCTGCAATCTCCCCAGCTGGTGAACAACTTCAAGAACTCCATGATCGATCTCCCCAGGATCACTGGCACCGCCCTGGTTCGACCCTGTTCGTGGATGGATGGTTCCGACAGCGTGTCGAACGGTCCCATCGCCGGTCCCACCTCGGAACACCGGATGTCCCCTGACGGACTCACTCCAGGAAGCGGAACCACGGTTCCCTCGGTCTATGGACCCATTCCCTACAGTCAGTACTCGTCCTGCTTTAATACCATTCCGGGCGTACCTTTTGTCGCACGGAGACGAACCCCGATTCCCCTTTTTGGTCTCGTTAACCTAGGTCAACGAGAACCGGTCCCACGTGCTCCGTGGTTCCAGGTTCTCCGGGACCGAACTGGAAGATGATTTTCAAGGGCCGGGTACAGAAATCATTTTGGCTCTCAACTCGGACCAGAAGAGTTCCTATTTCTTAATAAATTATAATATATTTTTCATTACAATGTGCCAGTACATGTACCTGAAGAATTGTTTAGACAGTTTAGTTAACATCTCCAGGTAGCATAGCCTATTACCTAGAATTTAAAAAATATCATTAATTCATAGAATATTTTTTCAAAATAATTCCGCGATAAATGTTTGCAATCAATCGTTACCGAGCTCGATACCTGACCAGTTTGGTTTTGGCTCCCAGGCAGTCGCAACGTTGAAAACAAATTTTAACGTCAATTTCTATCGGAGGTCCAGTTGCAATCTCCATGGAACTAGCCGAGTGCGGTTCGGAGTTTGATATATCGCAACCCTATTCACGTGAAATCCGTTACAAACTTTACAGTATCCGATGCGCCCATATTTGGAGCCTTCTAGTGTACAGCCTGAATGTACACGAGTTTACACGCCGGGACACAACGTGCTTTCCAATTAGGATTTATGCTAAACTCCGCTAAATGCACTTCTGAAGCAAAGCTCAGCAATTCTGTCAGAAGTTGCCCCGAATGGGCCTGAATATTTCAACCGAGGGCCACTCGGTTTGAATTTCCCCGGTGAATTCGCTGGCCAGATGTAAATCACTATTTTCTGGCACGAACATGAATTCCAGATTCCATGAGAGCCTCCCAAGTGTATCGAAGCTCCCTGACTCTCGGCATACCTTGAATACCTAAAAATCAAAATTGAAAATTCAACATCCACGTTACGGTCCAAGGAACCTCCTGCCACCTTCAAAAAACCTCATGAATAAATAATCACAAGGTGTATTTTCATTAATAATACATCTCAAGACCATTGTTATACTCCAACCTGTTCAACGGAAGGAATTCTCTCCGACTCGAAAATTCTTTCGCTTGAATACCTAAAAATCAAAATTGAAAATTCAAAATTGAAAATTCAAAATCCACGTTACGGTCCAAGGAGCCTCCTGCCACCTTCAAAAAACCTCATGAATAAATAATCACAAGGTGTATTTTCATTAATAATACATCTCAAGACCATTGTTATACTCCAACCTGTTCAACGGAAGGAATTCTCTCCGACTCGAAAATTCCTTCCCTTGAATACCTAAAAATCAAAATTGAAAATTCAAAATCCACGTTACGGTCCAAGGAACCTCCTGCCACCTTCAAAAAATCTCACGAATAAATAATCATAGGGTGTACTTTCATTAATAATACATCTCAAGACCATTATTATACTCCAACCTGTTCAACGGAAGAAATTCCCTCCGACTCGAAAATTCTTTCCCTTGAATACCTAAAAATCAAAATAGAAAATTCAAAATCCACGTTACGGTCCAAGGAACCTCCTGCCACCTTTAAAAAACCTCACGAATAAATAATCACAGGGTGGATTTTCATTAATAATACATCTCAAGACCATTGTTATACTCCAACCTGTTCAACGGAAGGAATTCTCTCCGACTCGAAAATTCTTTCGCTTGAATACCTAAAAATCAAAATTGAAAATTCAAAATCCACGTTACGGTCCAAGGAACCTCCTGCCACCTACAAAAAACCTCACGAATAAATAATCACAGGGTGGATTTTCATTAATAATACATCTCAAGACCATTGTTATACTCCAACCTGTTCAACGGAAGGAATTCTCTCCGACTCGAAAATTCTTTCGCTTGAATACCTAAAAATCAAAATTGAAAATTCAAAATCCACGTTACGGTCCAAGGAACCTCCTGCCACCTTTAAAAAACCTCACGAATAAATAATCACAGGGTGGATTTTCATTAATAATACATCTCAAGACCATTGTTATACTCCAACCTGTTCAACGGAAGGAATTCTCTCCGACTCGAAAATTCTTTCGCTTGAATACCTAAAAATCAAAATTGAAAATTCAAAATCCACGTTACGGTCCAAGGAACCTCCTGCCACCTACAAAAAACCTCACGAATAAATAATCACAGGGTGTACTTTCATTAATAATACATCTCAAGACCATTGTTACACTCCAACCTGTTCAACGGAAGGAATTCTCTCCGACTCGAAAATTCTTTCCCGTCGCAATTACCGGAGTTTGCCGAGTCTCGTTCCGTCAGCTGATTCTGACAAATGGAGGCCCTCGTATCATCGGCAAACAAATGTTTATGCGTGTATTATTCACACGCACGGAGACTCGCCCTGTGCCCATGTAACGACCCATTAACGCCCCCCGTCCACACCCACGTGCTATTTTCTTTCACTCTCGCGTGCCACTTTTAATTTTCCAAGATGCCTATCCTCCCTGCCTGGCAATTGTCGTAATTGCACGCGGATCGGCGCAAAGCCTTCCGGGGTCCCTCTGTACGCGCGTACATTCGAGTACTTTGAACCCCGATAGCTCCTCTTCAACGGAGATAAATCAAACTCGCATACATTTCACTAAGTTGCGGTCGTAGAAAAAATTTAAAAGTTCATACACGTGATTAAAATCGAAATTAAAAATGACCTGACATATAATTAATGCGTCCTTTTGAGGTATTCCTCTTTGTGACGCGTGTAAGAGCAGGGCTCGAGATGAAATCCGCGTAGAAAGCCAAGGCGCAGGCGCAGTGCAGTCCTCGTTGCATCGGATAGACTGCACGGCGCCTCTTGTGCGCCTATCATATCAGTGCTATCGTCAACTCGCTAAGTGACAGACGTGTAGTGCATTATCGTGGACAAATCCCGCAACTCGCTGTCACCAATGGAACCTAAAAACCATTACATCTAAAAATCGCCGAACCATCGATACCCACAACTCGTGATTATCAACCGCGTAAGTTTGCTGGAAAAAGAAAAGAAAAATGAATCCATTAATATTCCCCGAAGTTAATGCCCTAAACTACTGAAATTCTGTGAAAAATAATAGAAATTACCATTTTCTAGGCATAGAAAATATTGGGACATAATAAACGAGTAGATGTAAATATTATAGGGGATACAAGGGGGAGTGATTCAAAGCATGCATCTCTTTTTTAGAGCGTATTGGGAAAAATTCAAGGAAAGGAAACTGTGTTGTCGGGGAAGTGTAAGAAAAGTGTCCTGGGAGCGGTATCGGTTTGGACCGTTTCGCTGCAACGAAGTGCATATGGATTCTGGAGTTTTTGCAAACGATCAATGGGTCGCAGATTATGCAGTTTCGAAACGGGAAAATTGAAAGGGTAACCTCGCGGGTGACACCGAAAGGACAGGGTTAGAGTGACTGGTGCATACGCGAGCACACCTCGCGTGTCGTAAGCGCGTAATTTTACACCGAAGTGCACGTCGGCACAATTTATTATGCAACTCGCGTGTGACTCACGAGTATCGTTTGAAGTTACCGCCCACGTAAACATCATTTACCCTCGGAGCGATGGCCGATCGGATGTCGACATTAAAGAACGATCGCGGGATTAAAGACGGGCCGCGGTCGACGACTCTCGCGCGAAAAACGAATTTGGCGCGAAACTCTGCCGAGGTGTCTTAAGGTGAAGTGAAACACGTCGAGGAACTTGATCGACGTCGATAAAGCGGATTTTTCTAAATGCCTACGTCGCCGACGTTCGTTTTAATATTGACAGCTGAGTCGAATTATATTGGATATTGCACCAAATGGCATACTCCACCTGTCGTTTTCGTACAATATTTATAAAGAAATCGAAGTAAAACTCCAGAAATACTCTGGATTCATGCTTTCCGGGGCCCTAATTAACTGCAGAGGGACCCCCTGCACCATCTGTGATTTCCAGGTCAATTAAATTTTCACTCCGAGACCACGTATTCCCTTCGTTTTAGCATAGAAGCGCATACAACACTTTTTTTGCCTTTATCCCGTTCAAATGCGAGTTTATCGATTACCAGAGTGTTCTAAATTGTCGTAAAATTGTCCTGACCCTTTTGTTTCTCATATCAGAGCTTTTGATAATTGTATATCGATCGAAATATGAGAGCTCGACGCCATTTTGGTTCTGGTCTGGGCTGAGTTAACAAATTTTGATAAAAAATCCAAATTTTGAACGTGTCAGGACAATTCTTAGATGATCAGGAGTGACGTGTCAAAGTTTCGGACAGTTTGGTTTAATACCCTTAGAAAAAAGTGTTGTATTCGAATCGACTGATTTGAGGGAGGGTTTCACTTCACCTTAACGGCGAGACGCCGCAAAGAGATATCGCTCTTTTACGCCGAATGGGTACAAAATCGTCCTGGATTTAAATGCCTACTATCGATCTTCTAGTGGATGAATCATTTACGTATAAATTAATTACACAATTAATGGAAATTTAATTTTAAAAAATTCTGAAAAGGGATCGCTAGCTCGGAGAACCTTCCGTAGTACGAAGCCGTACGCGGTTTACTGCTGAATAGCTGCGAATAAACCACGTTACAGCCGTAAAGTAGGTTGCCAGTCTCCGATCCAATTTCCACCGATTATTTTCCTGCCCTACGGGGATTCCTTCCCGGTAAAGCGGAAACCACGCGTGCGATTTCCGGCCGTTTACGAGGACTTATCGTGTTTCTTCGAGTTTCTCTCCGTAAGCCGACCGGTAATCGATCTTGTTCGATACTACCGAGTACGATCCGATCCTTTGCGGATCTCTTTCACGATCCGCCATCTGTTCCCTCATATATTATTCTCCAAAAACGATATTAAATTAAAAATCGTATTTCGTGATATTTTGATTTCCATTCGTTAACTCAAGCGTTCCTTTGGGCACTGTTTCAACGATACAGGTTTACGTGTTCTGGAAACAGATTCTTCTTTAATTTTGAAATTTCTATAGCGATACTGCAAATACAACTCCGTCTGACGCACTCTGATAACAATATTGAATTAAAAATCATATTCCGCGATATTTTGATTTCTATTCGTAAACTCAAGCGTATCTTTGGGCACTGGAAACAGATTCTTCTTTAATTTTGAAATTTCGATAGCGATACCGCAAACACCAGAGATGAGTTGGGAGATTGCTCACGGGCAGGGTCGCGCGATCGCACCGTGTGCTGCCCTCTGATTTCGTACGTTAGCTTTCACCGTTTTTTGCCCCCAAGGGCGGCGCAACGAATTTCTGGTAGGGGCTCGCGCAATCGCAATGGCTGTACCGTCTACCAGTTGCCGTTGG